GCTTACTCCTTGGAAGGAAAGTTATGACCAACCTAGATAGCATATTAAAAAGCAGAGACATTACTTTGCCAACAAATGTCCATCTGGTCAAGGCTATGGTTTTTCCACTGGTCATGTATGGATGTGAGAGTTGGACTGTGAAGAAAGCTGAGAGCCGAAAAATTGATGCTTTTGAACTATTGTGTTGGAGAAGACTCTTGAGAGTCCCTTGGACTGCAAGGAGATCCAACCAGTCCATCCTAAAGGAGATAAGTCCTGGGTGTTCATTGGAAGGACTGACGCTGAAGCTGAAACTCCAATACTTTGGCTACCTCATGTGACGAGTTGACTCATTGGAAAAGACCGTGATGCTGGGAGGGACTGGGGGCAGGAGGATAAGGGGACGACAGAGGATGAGATGGCTGGATGGCATCACCAACTCGATGGGCATGAGTTTGAGTAAACTCTTGGAGTTTGTGATGGACAGGGAGGCCTGGCGTGCTGCAATTCATGGGGTCGCAAAGAGTTGGACACGACTGAGCGACTGAACTGACTGATTCATCATTAAGTAATTATTATCTGCTCGTATATTAAGTTTCTGGTCACCAAGAGTGTCACGAAGATTTAAGATCTTTAATTGTTAATAGTGTTTCCCAAACACAAGCAAGGTTTAACACCCCTCAATATGTTCCCCCTACCGCCGCCTGGATGAGGCAGGGATGACCCCCCACTACATGTGTGTTCTGGGCCCTGGGCATGACCCAACTTTCCCCAGTCCCGCTTAGGGCCCCAGAACACCGGGCCAGGGGTGTGGCCCTCTCCCAGGGTCCACACCCACCCACATCTGCCGACATCTCTGAGGCCCTGGCACCAAGGTCGACTGGATAGTGGCTGAGCGAGAGCCCTGCTCTCCCCAGGTCAACTCCAGCCCTGTGACCAGCAGACCAGGAGGAGCCACGATGGTGGAGGTGGTGATGGTGATGGTGAAGGTAGTGATGGTGGAGGTGGTGATGGTGATGGTGGAGGAGGTAGTGGTGGAGATAGTGATGGAGGAGGTAGTGATGATGGTGGAGGTGGTGATGGTGGAAGTGATGGTGGAGGTGGCGGAGGTGATGGTGATGGTGGAGGTGATGGTGGTGATGGTGATGACGGAGGTGATGGTGGAGGTGGTGATGGTGGAAGTGATGGTGGAGGTGGCGGAGGTGATGGTGATGGTGGAGGTGATGGTGGTGATGGTGATGACAGAGATGATGGTGGAGGTGGTGATGGTGGAAGTGATGGTGGAGGTGGCGGAGGTGATGGTGATGGTGGAGGTGATGGTGGTGATGGTGATGACGGAGGTGATGGTGGAGGTGGTGATGGTGGAAGTGATGGTGGAGGTGGCGGAGGTGATGGTGATGGTGGAGGTGATGGTGGAGGTGGTGATGGTGGAGGTGGTGATGGTGATGGTGGTGACGGAGGTGATGGTGGAGGTGGTGATGGTGGGGGTGATGGTGATGGTGGAGGCGATGGTGGTGATGGTGGAGGTGGTGATGGTGATGGTGGAGGTAGTGATGGTGGAGGCGATGATGGAGGTGGTGATGGTGGAGGTGATGGTGATGATAGAGGTGATGGTGGAGGTGATGGTGGTGATGGTGGAGGTGGAGGTGGTGATAGTGGTGATGCTGATGGTGATGGTGGAGGTGGTGGAGGTGATGGAGGAGGGGACAATGAGGGATGAGGTGGTGAAGGTGGTGGCAATGATGATCAGTCCATGGTGACAGCAGTGATAATGAAAGCGGATTCTCCGGGATGCAAGTTTCCCAGACAAATGAGGTCTTGCCGCTGTCCTCACCCTAGCCACTGGCCAGGTCCCTGCCTGTGAGCTGCCCTCGGAGGCAGCAGGGGAGAGAGCCTTGACAAGGCCTGACAGCACAGTGGGATATCCTGAGCTGACAGAGAACGTTTAATCTTGGTTAAAAATAAATAAGTTCAATTATTAGAAAGGGAAAATATAGCCTAGTGTTTACTGCAGGTGAAAGGAAGACGATCACCCTGGGAGAAGTCCACTGTGGGACACTGGGCACCAGCCCCTACTGTCAGGGGCCCTGCAGGCCGGTGGGACCACCTCACCTCATGGGCCTAGTGGGAGGGGGCCAGGCCCCCCACCCCCAATCTGGGGCCTCCTTCCACCCCCTCCCACACCCCTGGCTGGGTGAGGTCACCTCCCCAAAACCAGCATCAGGGAGTGCCAAGATTTGGGGGCTGGCAAGGACCCCAGCCCCCACCCCCGGGTGGCGTGGCTGATAAGCAGCAGAGAGCCCCTGCCCGTGGTAATTAGCATGAAACGTGCAGCCTTCGCCAGGGAGGAAAATCTCATCTTGGAAACACACGTCTAGAGCAGGTTCAATTTCACCCGAGGGGCCATAAAACCCTTTTCCAATCACCTGGAGCCGTGGGCTGCCAGCGCCATTAATCCTGGGGATGTTATTTAAAGCCGAGACGTCACTCGGGGAGAATCAGGCCCAAGCCCCAAAAGGAGCCCTTTCGGTTCCCACAGGGGCCCTGGGAGCCAGACACGGCCACCGGGCTCGGGGGGTGGGGGGGGCCAGGGGGGTCCTCAGCTGCCCTGGGTCCTCCCCAGCCAACGCCAGGCTGGCAGGGTCCCACACAGGCCCACCGTAGGTGCAGCTCCGCCCCACCCGCCCCCCCAGACTTCCATCATCCCACAGACTCTCTTTAAAAGTTGTTTCCTTGATTACCAAGGGTAATAATGAAAACATGTAATTGAATCTCCAAGAAATTACCATTTTTATAACTTGCGCCCAGTTCCTGGGGTAAATGAACGGCTCTCTGCACATGGCAGGGGCCCCACAGTGCCTCCACCAGAAGTGAGCCTGCCCCCTGTCACTGACACAGGCCCCATGCTGTCTCCCGGTGGGAGTGTGGGGGGCTCCCCTGCTGGAAAGCCGTCAGTGGTTGGAGGGAGCAGGGTCAGGGTGGGTAAGGGAGGGCCGCAGAGAGTAGGCCTGGCCAGGGGGAATGGGGGCTCCCCACCTGCTCCCTCCTGCTGACCACCTGCCCCCAGGAGCCAACTGCCCAGCAGGCCAAGTTGGGCACCCGAGGGTCCTGGGGCATCTCAGGCCGGTGCCAGCAGGGAGGCTGGAGCGGTGACCAGTGTTGGAATGGTCGTAAGCTGGTGGGCTGGTGGGTCTCGTGGGTAAGGTAAGTGCCTCTTGTGGCTGCGTGGTTGCTGGGTGGGTGGCTGGATGGCTGGCTGGCTGGGTGGATAGCTGGATGGCTGGGTGGGTGGCTGGGTAGCTGGGTGGATAGCTGAGTGGCTGGGTAGGTGACTGGGTGGCTGACTGGGTGGGTGGCTTGGTGGCTGGGTGGCTGGGTGACTGGATGGCTGGTTGATTGGGTGAGTGGATAGTTGGGTGGGTGACTGGGTGGGTGACTGGGTGGGTGGCTGGCTGGGTGGTTGGCTAGCTGGGTGGGTGGCTGGGTGGGTGGCTGGCTGGCTGGCTGGCTGAGTGTTGGTCCCTGCTCCCTGGGGAGGGGAACGCCCCCATATCAGCACAGGAGCCTTAGCCGTCCCCAGCCTGCAGCCACCCTGGGAGCCCCGCCCAGGCCCGGCCCAATTCCTTGACTTCTGAGGCCCACCCAGAGCCACGATGGTCCACTTCACCCCCCCCACGAGCGACCGGTCCTGCACCCCAAAACCTCACCTCACCAGGACACAGCCTGGCTCCACGGAGCAAGGGCTGTGCCCCCAGGGCTGAGAGGTGGAGGCCTTGGGGCCCGGTCCCACGTCCAGAGAGCCTGCCCTGAGCAGCCCCAGGCTCCGTGCCCAGCACACAACCCAACACCGGATGTGTCTGCCTGACAGGCTCTAAGAAGGATGAGGCCAGGCATGGGGGGTACAGGTGGTTCCAGGCTTGTTTCTGTGGCAGCACCGCGAGGTCACCCCCAAAATGGAGGCTCTGCCCGCGGCCTGGCCAGCCCCCACCCCAGGACCAGGGCGGCGGGCACTCGGCACGGGGCACCAGCGGCCCCCACCCCCTCAGGGGCTCCTGGCCACCCGCACAGCCTCCCAGGCACCTAGGAGACCCTGCAGGTGACCGCCTCCTGCCCCACCCTGGCCCATAGGGAGTCCTGGACACCGGCCTGCCCCGCCTCAAGACAGGCTGTCACCTCCCAGAGCCTGGGCCTCACAGGCTGGAACCGGGGCCCCCACCAGCTGTGTGCCCACTGACAACCGGGCAGCCTGGGGCCAGCCCGGGGCCACTGGAGGGTCCACACCGGGGAGCCCCACCCCGGGCACCCACACCCAGGGCAGGGAGCAGACAAGGGGCTGAAGAAGGGTGAGCCCCAGGGTGAACCCCAGGGAGGAGCTGGCAGGATGCAGTCAGACCCCCACAGGAGCACAGGTCGGGCTCCGGAGGGCTTTCTACCCCGCACTGGCAGATGGGGATCACCCACCGGGCTTCAGGGTCCCCAGCCTGCAGCCCTTCTGTGGGCTTGTGTGGCCATCTGGTGGTAGATTCTGGGACCTACGCCTGGCCGGCCTGGAGAGGATGAACCGTCCTTCGGCACCAAGGAGCCGCGGCCACGTGGTCTCCGCCCCCCACCTGACTCCAGGTCTCACTCACCCTTCCACGTTCACTCCTCAGGGGCAGGGATGGGCACACGAGTCGCCCCCTGCTCCCAGTGAGTGCAGGTCAGGGGCGGGGTATAGACAAAGGTGCCTGTGCGTCCTGCACTCTGGCCCTAGGAAGGGTCTCCGGAGGTGACCCCAGCCTCGGCTGGCTGGGCTGGCTTCCCGGGCTCACTTTGGGCCGGCTCACTGTGGGCACAGGTGAGCCCAGATGGCAGGGACCCTCTCAGGGGTCTCTGGGCAGGTTCCGTCCAGCCGCCCTGGGTGGGGCCTCAGCACGGCCGCCCACCAGCCTGCAGCCCTCGGCACCCTCCCCGCAGCGAGGATTTTCCTTGACACTTGTATTCTCTCTTCTGATTCTTAAATAAAAAATGTGTGCAGCGGCTGTCCAGAGGGGCTCTGAGGGAGGGAAGAGGAGTGGGCTGCCCAGCGCATGCCCAGGGAGCCACTCAGTCACCCGGGATGGGCAGGCACACCTCCCAGCCAGCCTCTGAGACAGACCCGCTGTGGGAGGACCCCACGGGCGCCTGCTCACCCTCCAGCTGCGCCCCTCTCCCAGGGCCCGGCCCGGCCTGCTCCTCGTCCCTCAGGCCAGGGTGGGGCAGGGGCCCGCAGCAGGCAGCGGCCGGCGTCCACCCCCCCGCAGCGCGCCAGCCCTGGTCTGGGCCGGTCAGACCCCAGGCTCCCCCATACTCTGCCATTCCCGGTGGACCCGTCCTCCTGGCTACAGGGCTGGCCATGCCCTTGCACCCCAGGAGGGCACCAGACCAGCCTTGGCACCCATGAGGCCCAGCCTCGGGCCAGCGGTGTCCGTCACAGACCCCCAGGCCCTGGGAGGACAGGATGCCCCAGGAGGAACCTGAAGGCCCAGAGACGGGGAGTCCCCAGCCTGGGGTGGCCCCAGGAAGCCTGCAAGCCCGAGGGTGTGAGGGGGGCGGGTCCGTGTCAGGGGCCTGCCCTGGGGGTGAGGAGAGGGGGCTGCCCCCAAAGGTTGTGACTGGCCCAGGGGCCCTGAGCTCCACCTGCCCAGGCCTGTTGACCCACTTGGGAAGCACACCTGGGGCCCTGAGCACTGAGGCCGGGCAGGAGGTGTGCGGCCTCCAGGCCTCTCCCTCACGGCCCCACCCTGCTCACAGCCCAGGCTCCCTGAGGCCCCCTGGCATCACGGCACCTTGGGCAGGGAGTGGCTGCCATGGCAACTGTCGTCCAGAGAGGCACGCTGCTTGGTAACAAGGGCCGTGGCTCCCCGCGATGCTCAAGCCAACCCAGCTTCCTGCTGCGGCGCAGAACTCGGCCACGGGGACTCACCCCCAGCCCCTCGTGAGCCTCCTGGGGCCTGGACTCGATTCAGGTGCGCGGGGGCACCCCCGCACTAGTGAGATTTGCAGGGCGCTCTGCCATGGGCATGTGTGTGTGCGCACACGTGTGCTCGGTCATGTCCAACTCTGCGACCCCATGGCCTGTCTGTGGAAATGCCATCACAGCCGGGGCTCCCTCTGAGATCCCCCCCCCGGGCCACGCCCAAGCTCAGGGCTGCGCTGCAAGGACCACAGGGACGGGGCGAGGAAGGTTTTGGGTGTGGGGTCTTCGGGGCTGGGTTCCAAGCCGCCAGCAATCTTCCTAGGCGGTGCAGGGGCTCAGACTGTGTCCAGGAGCGGGTTCCAGGCGACTGGGGGAGGCTCCCATGCCATCGGGCATCCGAGGCACCCCCCCTGCAGACCCACCTGGGTGCCCGGGAAAGGCTCGAGGCCTCTGCCAACAGTTCCCAGGGTGTCTTTGCTCTTAGTACAGAGGCCTCCGTCTCCATGAGGAGCTCCTCTCCCCCCATTGAACGTTCCAAAGCACCTGCTGGCTCCTGACAGGACGGTGCCCCTGTCCCACCCCGGGGGTGCCATCTTCTCCAGCGGAGAGTGAGCTCAGGAGGCGTTGAGGAGGCCGTGGGGGCCTGAGCTGGGTTCCAGGCCTGTCTTTCTCAGCCCCTCGCAGCAGAGCCTGTTGCTAGTGCCCAGATGCACCCCCAGAAACACAGAGCAGCCTCCAGGGCCCAGGCCGGTGTGCTCAGCTGGCACAGCCTGTGGACGGTGCACGTCCCTTCTCTGTGGGTATCCCGCATTCAGTGGGGGAGCCAGACCACCAGCAGATGAAGGGTACTGACGGACTTCTATAGATGGGAAGAGGGGGCTGACTGTACCTGGGTGTGGACGAGGCAGGGCTGCTGACCCGGGCTGGCTAGGGGGCGGCTTGGGGGGCCACCCAGCACGTGCGAGGGTCAGCAGGTGGCAGGGGACCCACAGGCAACTCCCCGGGCTGCCCTGCTCCAGACGTCTGCCCAGAGGACTCCCCGGCTGCTAATGGGGAGTAGCAAAGCCCTTAGCCATTCCTGGCAGGAAGGCCTTCCAAAGAGAAGATCCCCAAGGAGAAGCAGCAGGAAGTGAAAGCTCCCCTCCCCAGCCCCCAAATCCACTTTGTCCCTAAAGGAGAACAGGAAGCTCTGAGAAAAGAATAGGGAGAGGCAGAGAACAACGGAGAAGTCCTGGCACGTTACAGCAGGGTCTCACACGGGGAAGGGCCTGACCTACCGGCCCAGCCTCACAGGCAAGCAGTCTGAGGTCAGAGTGAGCAGCCGGCTGATCCTCAGGGGTCTCCCGATCTAGCTCCCCACGCCAGAGGCTAAAGCAAGCACCTGTCAGCCAGGCCTGGTGCACTTGGCTGGCCCCACCGGGTGGGTCTCTGTGGTCTCGCTGGGCTTGTCAACCCCCTCCCAGGAGCTGGGGACCCGCCGGGATGACCAGAGCCCCCCCATCCCCATGACCTGGAATCCGAGAGCAAGGTCACAGAGGATCCACATAGCAGCGAGAAAGTCACCACCCGACACACAAGCGTTGTTCAGACCTCCTGGTAAGAGCCCACAGGCCCAAGCAGGTCCCTGGGCTAGCCCAGAGCCCAGGGTCACGTTGCCGAGGGTCAAGGACACAGGGACAGCCAGGATCTGCAGCTGTGTCCCCCACACGGGCACTCAGGTTTCCACCAACCCTCTTTTCTGAGGAAGCTGCTTGAGGATGTGCTTCTGTGAAACAAGGGAGGGAACTGAAAGAGGGTGTGCTGTGAGTTGGGGGCTCCAGGAGTGGGGGGCACTGTGGAGGGTGGGGGGTTGCAGTAGGACAGAGCGGGACATGGCATGAGGCTATTAATAGGGGAGGGGAAACCGGGGGGGGGGGNGCTGGCACTCTGCAGTCCCTGAAAAGACCCCTGAAGTGGGGAAAAGCAGGCTGGACTAGAGTCCAGCCTTGGCCTCCAGTGGGTGACTCAACCTTGGATAACAGTCCTTGTGGGACCACTGAATGTTAAATAAATGACTTAAAAAAAATTGGGGATTCACAGGTGAAAAGGTCAGGCTGTGGGATGATCTCTTCTGGGTGGAGAGAGGCATGGCCACCGCCTCCAGGAAGGCCTCAGCCTTGAGGCTCTCGGGTGGGGCAGGGCCACATTGGGTACCTGCTTCTGCTTGACTTTGCTTTTAGCTCACGTCTGCAGGAACTGCTGTACAGTTTAAGATAGTAGCTGATGGGACGTGGTGGGAGGGGCCCAGTCAGCCCCACTCTGGCCACCACCCCAGCCCATTATGACCTCCCTGGTCCTGCCCAGGCCTTTGTGACAGTTGCCCCTGAGGTGCCTATGAGCCATGACACCCAGAGCTCCTTTAGTAAGAGGGTGGCAGGACAGGTCAGGCCAAAGCCTGGACCTGGGGTCAGGAAGGGGTCACAGGGAGGAATGGAGGGGCCGAAAACCCTGGGACCCTGTGGCCACACCCACCCCCAGTGCCCCCAGCCCCCAGCTCCAAGCAGCCATGGGGGGTGCCTGGACCCACCCTGCCCAGTGTTCGCCGGGTGGCCCTGCATGGTGCCTCTCAGCTCCACCCACTCGATGGAGACTGCCAGGCCTTTCTCAGCCCTGGGGACAGGGGGTGGGGGGCCCAGGGTTGGGGGCGAGGTACCCGGGAACTTCATCACAACTGAGGACGGCGAGCTGCAGCGACAGAGGCCGCGAGACCCGGCAAGGATGAGACAAGGACAGACGGATGCCAGGCTGGGGTGGGGCTGGGCCCTGCACTCCAGCCGAGAGCGAGAGCGAGAGCGAGAGCAGAGGGCTTCCCGGCAGGCGGCAGGGCCCAGCTTGGGGCCCCAGCCCTGCCCATGCCCACCACTGATCCCGGGCACAGGGGCCTCGGCCTCGCCCAGGGCAGAACCCCCCCAGCTCCAGGGAATTCCCCTGGGGCCCACAGAGCAGTCTTTCCTCCAGCTGGAGCAGGAGAACCAGAGTCTGGTGAGCACCAGGCCCCAGCCCCGCCAGACCCCATACCCTGCCAGACCCCACACCCCACACCCGGGCCCCGCCAGACCCCACACCTCAGCCCCATCAGACCCCCAGCACAGCCGGGACCTGCCAGACCCCATGCCCCGGACCCCACGCCCCAGCCCTGCCAGACCCCACGCCCCACACCCGGGCCCCACCAGACCCCACGCCCCGGCCCCGCCAGGCCCACGCCCTCTCCCCTGCGCTGCCCCAGACACAGCTGTCCCCATCTCCCCATCTCTGTGCCCCACCCCAGAAGAGGCAGAACCAGAATCTGCGGGAGCAGCTGGGGGCCCTCCTGGGGCCGGGGCAGCAGTTCCTGCCCTTGTGCCCAGAGCACTCGAGCTGTACGGCCCTGGCCTGGGTGAGTGCGGGGCGGGGCACGGCCCTGGCAGGACCGCGGGTGGCTCTGCGGAGAGCCCTGTGGCTCCATGCACTCCCCCCCCACCCCACTCCCAAGCAGTCCATGACCACGGACACTGCCGATGGCCTTGGGGCTGAGCCAGGGGCTCCTCCGCAGCCCCCTGAGCAGGCCTGCGCCTCTCCAGCCCTGCCTCGGCCCACACTGCTCCCCCTCCCCAGAACGAGCTGCAGCAGATCCGACTGTCCTTTGAAAGGAAGAAAATGGCTATCACCGAGGTGCCACCTGCAGGGGTGGGTGGGGGCGCCGGGCGGGGGCTCCACTGTGGAGAGGGGCGTCCAGCACGGGTCCTGCTCCATCCTGAGGGCGTGACCCAGCCTCGCCCCTCCCACCAGGTGTGGGACGGCGTGGCTGAAGTACACATGGCCCTGAACAACCAGGCCACTGGGCTCCTGGTAGGTCCCCAGAGGCTTGACGCCAGAGGATGAACGGGCGGGGACAGGGCGGGCGAACAGGACCCCCATTTTACCCTCTCTGGCCCCCAGAACCTCAAGAAGGACATCAGGGGCGTGCTGGACCAGATGGAGGACATCCAGCTAGAGATCCTGGGGTGATGTGGGGGCTGGAGCCCCAGGGGCGGGGGCTGGCTGAGCTGCGACAGTCTGGGTCAGGGTGCGGTGGACCCATCCCTGACCGGTCCCCAGTTGTCCCAGAAGCCGCGCTCGGGCAGCGGGGGAGGAGCTGGGTGAGCAGGCCTGCCCTGACCTCACGGGCTCGGCCCCTCCTCCGCAGAAGGCACAGCCGCAGCTGGGATGCTCCGAGGGCCTCAGAGGCCAGCTCTGGTAGGTGGCCCAGCCGGCGCAGGGACCGAGCCCAGTGCCCAGAGCCCATCCCCGGGCGCCCCGCCCCCTGACCACCGCCGCCCGCAGGCTGCTGGCCCTGAGGCTGCTGCTGGGCGCCCTGCTGGCCTGCACCGCCGCCTACGTGTACGTGGTCGACCCCGCGCCCTTCGAGGGGCTGGTGCCGCCCCTGCTGAGCCGCGCCGCCGTCTGGAAGCTGCGGGCCCTGCTGGGCCCGTTCCTGCGCCTCGAGGTGGACGGCTTCCTGCCCTTCTAGGCCGGAGGCCCAGCGGCCCCAGCGAGGAGGAAGCCAGCAGGCCGGCGCGGCCCCCGGCGCCCAGTGGCCGCGCCGGCCCCCGCCCACCGCACTGCGGCGCACCGTCCCCGCCCGGAAGCTTGGAGAAGGGAGGGGGCGGGGGCTGTCCTGAGGGCTGGGCCTGTGGCCGGACATATAGTCGTGACTCTCCGCCAGTGTGCTTGTTTCCATGGATACCGGGGCGGGCGCTGGAGGCTGTGACACCTTCCCGGGCTGATCTTGCAGCGAGGGTCCCCGGGGTGGCGCCCCTGTCTGGCACCCCTCGCCCACCTGCTGCGGGGGCAGCCTCTCCGAAGCCCCCTTGCCATCAGAAGGGGGGAGGGAGCCCCAATGAAAGTGAGCTCCTCAGGCCTCGTCCCCAGGTGGGCGGACCTCAGGGAGCAGGTTCTCTGCCCCACAGGTGCTGCTGAGCCCAAACACAACCCGCGTCCCTGTCTGTCCTGCCACCCACCTCCCACACCTGCCCAGCCACCACCCAGCCCACTCCCTACCCCCCCCCCCGTTCCTGTTTACCTTCCCAACCCAGGGTCCCTGTCCAGTCCAGGCTTGAAGGACAGGGGGACCATGGTGGTGGACAGAGCCTTGGAGGTAAAACACCAAAGATTTTATTTACTGCGTTAAACCGGGGTGAGGGAATACCTTTTAGAACAATAGAGACCAGATTTGTGGCTGCTCGTCCCCACGTGAGAGAAACAGAGCTCTCTGCTGGCAAGGGGGGGGCGGGTGCCAACCAGGGCCCTGCCCCGCCTCTGGGGGCGTCGGGGGGTGCCCAGCTGGCTAGGGGCTGCAGGGCTGGGGGTGGCGGGGCCCTCTGAGCACCCCAGGTGTGCAGAGGAGGGAAGACCATCGGGGCAGGGCTGGTGGGCTGGGGTCTCCTCTGGCTGGCTGCTGCAGGAGCTTAAGGCATCCGTTCATGTGCAGGGTGCAGGGGGAGGGGGCAGTGCAGAGACCTGCAGGGGCCGCCTGAGACCCCCGCCCAGCCCAGCCCAGCCCACAGAGGCCGGGCTCCCTGGGAAGGAAGGGACGCGTAAAGTGCTTGGTCAGGCAGGGGGTCAGGTGCAGGGGCAGCAACAGCCCAGAAGGCTGTGGTGGCCCCAGCAGCTCTGGGGCCCCCGCCCGGGGGGGTCTGACCCTCTGCGGCAGGCGGGGGCCTCCTGAGCCGGGAGGGTGCAGGGTCATGGGCCCTGGCAGGCTAGGGGTCAAGTCAAGCTGTGGCTGGTGGAACGGAGGCCCCCCGGGGCCCCTAGGGTCCACGGCAGCCCGGCCCTCTGGGGCCCCAGAGTGGCCTACTTGCTGTCCCGCTCAGGCCCCGAGAGACTGGGGAAGAGGCTGGAGGCAGCCAAGTGCAGCCGGCACACGGCCCCCCGGGGGGGCGCTCCTGGGGCTGGGCTCCAGGGGGCCCGCAGCGGCGGGTGGTCCTCTGGGAGGCCGAAGTGGCACAGGTGCAGGCTGGGGGGTGCCCAGGGCTGGCCGCGCCGCCCCCATCCACGGCTGCAGGCGCCGATCCAGCCCCTGCAGGTCGCAGCGTCCAGTGAGAGAGAAGCAGAAAGGCGGAGGTCAGCAGGCCAGGCCCTGCCCCGGGCCTCCAGTCCCCGAAAGGCGGCAGATTCCCCCCACCCTCCCCACCACGCGTCTGAGGAGGGGCACGGGGACTGGTCCAGCTGCCCGACATCCCAGCCCACGGGCACCCTGTGCTCGGGGGCCCTGGGGTGGCTCAGCCCAGCCCCCGAGACACCCTGTTACTGCCGGGGTGACACAGACACGGGGGGCCACACACCCCTGCCCGGCTTCCAGCCTGGTACCGGTCCAGGAGTGCCCACACAGAGCAGACAGGCTGCCACCCCCTCTCCCGCAGCCTGAGCACCTTTGCCCCACCCGGAACCCTGGTCTTGCTCAAGGAAAGGACCCAAGTGACTCTTTTTCTTTTTTTAATAAAATTATAGATATATAGATGTAGATATAAAAACATAGAACAGACAAAATGCAAGCGGACGCTGCCGTGTGCTTACTCTCGGGTCCCTGGCACCAGACGAAACTCCGAGCCCTCCCGATGTGCTTCCCACGTGGGCCCCAGGCTCCAGCGGGGCCTGGGCTTTGCGTGCCTTGGGTGGGGGTCTTCAGTTTGCAGGGAGGGGGCATGGGGTGGCCTGGGCCCCGAGGAATGGCGTCAGGCCTCCTGTCTGCTCCCCCAGCCCCTGTCGCCTCCCACAAGAGCATAAAGCAGAGGTTAAGGCTTCAATTAAAGCATGTTTCCAGGCGGGATGGGGGAGGGGGACGGCAGGGGCCCGAGCGTTGACATGTGGGACACGGCATGGCAGCTCAGAGCACAGACGTGGGGACGCGCCCACCAGCGGGGGCGAGACGAGACACACGGAGCCAGGACCCCACCCATAGCTGGCTGTCTGTCCGTCTGTCCGTTTGTCCACCTGTCCATCAGAATAGCTGGGTGCCGTGGGCTGGGCCCGTGCTCCCTGCGAGAGAACTGGCCATGCCATGCTACAAGCTTGCAGCAGGTCCCTGAAAGGCAAGGGGTCGGGGCAGCCGGGCGGCAGGGCCCTTGGCCAGGGGCTCAGGCCTCTCTGTCCGTCTCTGGGCCATGGGGACCCGCGCGGAAGGGAAGCGGGTAGGGCCAGCCGGGTGACAACCTCAGGGGCACAGGCACGCTCTGTGCACCTCGCCGCCCCAGCTCACAGGAGCAGGACCACCAACACGCAGGCCTGCAGCCCCGCGGCGCCTGGTGAGCAGGTGTGGACGAGTGGCCGAGGGACGGGCTGCGGAGGCATGGCTTTCCTCGCTGAGGCGTCTGAGCCAGGCCTGGGCCTCCTCTCCAGGGGCAGAGAAGCTGGGAGGGGTGGCCGAGGGGGGTCGTGGTTCCCATGGTGCTCGGCGACGGGGGGGGGAGGGGGGACAGTCGGTCCTCACACAGAGATCTCGTATGTGGTCCCACCCACGCCGGACACCTTCTTAACCAGCGTGTGCCGGGCGGGGCTGGCGGAGGGCCCCGGGGGGCCGGGGGCCGGCCCCAAGCGGGTCAGACCCGGGGACTGCCCATTAAGCTTACTTGGGGGGGTCTTCAGCTGAGGGTGGTCCCTGCATCGAAACAAGCAGACACGCGTACACGTGAACACGGGAACACGGCAGAACACAGCCAGCAGAGGCAATGGACAGAGGACACAGAGAGACGGAGCCCTGGGCCACCCCTGCCCGAGCCTGGACACTCCCACATGGAAATGGGGGTCGGGGGTAGAGGGCAGACATCTGTCAGAACAGCCACCCTCCCTTCCCAGGCCGCTCAGCACAGACCAAGAGCACAGGGAGGCCAGGGAGACCCCAGCCAGTTCATCTGTGTCCCGGAACCCTGAACTGAGGAGCCTGCAGTGACCCTGTGGTGACCCTCTGACCTCCTCCTCGCTCCCTCCGAGGAAAGCAAGGGGCTGTCCTTCGGCCCTGCAGCCGCTGGGCGCTGAACAATAGCGTGGACCTTGCCACCTGCTGAGCCTGTCACCCAGCCTCCGCCCCACGCCCAAGCCTCCCTTTGCCCATCTCTGAGCAGGGAAACCCCCCGAAGGCCAGGACCATGGTGCCCAGAGTGCACGTCTCGCAGTGGGATGACATCCCCCTGACTTGGCCTTTTGAACATGGACAGATGACCGTCTCTAGAAGGACCTGGGATGCCCCACTCACTGGGTCTGTCAGCCCGGGAAGAGTGCAGGCTTGGCTCAAGGTGCAAAATCGCCTGCACCCCCCACCCTAGGGTGTCCAGGGCATCCTTGGAGCCGGCGACCCTGACTCTGGCCAGCAGGAGCCTCCAGGCTGGGTGAGGCCCACCCCTCAGGGTAGCCTCAGGCCTCCTGGGCAGCCCCCCAGCCAAGAGCCCCGCAATCCCCTACCCCGTGTCCGGTGGCCGGCCGCACCCCCAGCACCCACCTCTGCACAGCCAGCGAGGGCGGTGGTTCCGGGAGGTCTGCGTGGATGAAGGCGACGGCCTTGGGGCCAGCATAGGAGGGCGAGCAGGGGGTGCCAGGTGGGGACGGGGGCACCTGGTGCACTGGCGACCTGTGCGGGCCGCTGGCGGGCCGGGCCCCTGGGCCCCCGCTAGTGGCCAGGTCTGCCTGCAGGGAGGAGGAGGAGGTCCGTGGTGCCCGGCTCACCGCACTGGACAGCGAGGACAGCGAGGTCTGCAGTGCAGGGTTGCGGGCGCCCCCAAAGCCAGGCCCGGCCACCAGGTCGTCCCGGGAGCTGCAGCGCAGCCCGGGGCCGCGAGGGCCCTCAGACAGCACGCCGGCCTGCTGCAGGCTGTAGGAGCTGGGCGTGTCATAGACACCCGAGTCGCCGAAGAGCGAGTCGGCCTGAGAGCGCAGCAGCCGCTCCCGCTCCTCCCTGTCTTTGCGCTCCTGGATGGAGGCCATGATGGTCCGGGACAGGTTGTCGTAGCGCACTGGCGAGGGCTCCCGCTGCCGCGGGCCCAGCACCGGGCTGAAGCTGCGGGGCGGCGGCCGTGGCGGGTCGCCTGGCACCCCTGCGTGCAGGTAGGGTGAGCGGTAGCTGGGGGCGCCGGCTGTGGGGTGGGCCGGGCAGGCATGGCCCCCGGGGGAGCCGGGGTTCAGCAGGCTATCGTAGGACAGGCTGCCGTTGCGGTTGGGCAGCGCGTGGGGGGCAAAGAGGCTGCGGTGGGGCGTGGGGGGCCCACCCTCGGAGCGCAGGGGCTGCAGGGCCACGTGGTCCCCGCCCCGCCGACTGGCCGCCTTGAGGCTCAGGGAGCGCAGGGCGCCTGAGAAGGTGTCGGCCGCGCTGAGGGGTGGGTAGTCGGGCAGGTCCAGGCTGGGCTCCGATGCAAAGTCCAGGCTGTGGATGCTGTCCTCCCCCAGTGTCAGGGAGTCGGTGCCCGTGACCTGCAGGGAGAGAAGGCACGTCCACGTCTGCCCACTCCGGGCCCTGCAGACGCCCTGTGCCCTCTGGGAAGCTGCCATCAGTGGCGGCAGGTGCAGCAGCAAGCTGCTCCCAGACCCCTCGGTCCCCTCGCCCCAGGAGAGAAGGGCCAGGGTGGGCATGGCAGTGTGGGTGGCCCCAGGAGAGAAGGGCCCAGGGTGGGCATGGCAGTGCGGGTGGCCCCAGGAGAGAAGGGCCCAGGGTGGGCATGGCAGTGCGGGTGGCCCCAGGAGAGAAGGGCCCAGGGTGGGCACGGCAGTGCGGGTGGCCCCAGGAGAGAAGGGCCCAGGGTGGGCACGGCAGTGCGGGTGGCCTCAGGGCACATGGACAACCAGCCAGACCCTCCATGGGATCCAGGACAACCCCAGGAAAGAGACGACCATTCCGAGAAGGGCCACCGGACCCTGGCTAGGCAGGCCATCGGTCCTGGGGGAGCGCCCTGGGGGTCCGGGCGTGCTGGCCCGCCACAGGCCTGCCCTCCAGTGGCCATGAAAGAAGCATGCAGCCCAGGGACCTCAAGGCTCTTGGCCTCTGCTCACACGCCCACTGCTCCACGTGAAAGCAGAGAATAAGTGTGCTTTCTCAAACAATCTCAAATTCCTCTGAAGCCTTCGCGGGGGCCCTGAAGGCCTCAGGCGGTGACTAACGTGGAATTCCAGGAGCCCTGCACACAGTGCTGCCGGGGGCAGCGCCCACTGAGGCCCGGGGAACACCGCCGAGCCAGCAGGTAGGCAGGCCAAGGGCCAGAAGAACCAGGACACCCTGCCCCAGCTGGCACGCTCACACCTCTGTGACCCAGGAGGGGTCTTCAGGAGTGCCGCCTGGGGGCGGGACCTCCAGGGAGTGATCTTCGAAGAAGTCTGGGGCGGGGCCTCCAGGGGAGGGGCCTCCTCAGGTAGGACCTCCAGGGGCGGGGCCTCCTGGGCGGGGCCTCCTGGGCGGGGCCTCCTGGGCGGGGCCTCCCGGGCGGAGCCTCGGGAGCCCGGGCGGGACCAGGCCTCACCTGCTCAGTCGGCCCGCAGAATGGCGCCTTGGGACCCGTGGGAAAGGCGGGCCGGAACTTGTACATGGCAGGTGTCGGGGGGCTGGTCCTCTGCGCCGACAGGGCGCTCTCTGGAGGAGACGGGCAGCGGTCAGGCTGGGATCGCTCGGCGCCCCTTCCTCCCCTCGGGTGCTCCCACCTCACCAGCACTGCCCGGGCGCGGGGTCTGCAGGTCGCTGCCAAACGTGCCGGCCTCCACCTTAGGGGGCAGTGGCGGCCCCAGGTCCAGGGGCTTCTCATCCAGCCGGTCCAGGCTGCCCTTGGACTGGAAGGGGATATGGTCAGTGGTGTGCAGGGTACAGTCCAGGGGCAGGGCTTTATCAGGGACTCCATCCTGGCGCCAAGGACCCTGACCCTTCCTTTGTTCGGCTCGGTCCTCTTCCTTCTACTTCGTGGTCCCACCAACCTGGCGGCTTCCCGCAGCTCCCCATCCCCCGCCCACCCCTGGGCGCCCACCTTGCTGCGGCCCAGGCCAGCCTTCAGCCCATTGTCACTAAGCTTGACCTTGAGTGGTGGCGCTCGCTCCAGGAGCTCTGGCCGAAGGAAGGGCGGCTTCAGGCGAGCAGCCAGCGGCAGCCGGGGCGGCTCCACCACATACCTGCACCAGGGCAGAGAATCAGTGGCCAGGGCGGCCCCCCCTGAATGCGCACCGAGGGGAGGGCCTGCCAGGCCAGAGCAGATTGGACGGGCTGAGAGCCTCACCGGGGCGCCAGGGGGCTGCACAGCACATGCTCCACGTTCCCATAGCAGCCGCGGGTGAAGGGGTTCACGCCCCCACGGAACTTCCCTGTCACCTGTGGATATGGAACCCCTCAGCCGGCCTGGCCACCCAGGGTCTAGCCAAGGAGGGGAGGATGACACGCAGGGACAGCGGGGTTCCTCAGAGGTCAGTTGGGCACCGTCAGCCCAGGGGTGTCCCCCACCTAGGTCACCAGGACCTGCCCCTGCATGCAGTGGAACTTCTAAGTTCTGATTCACTGATGGCCGCAGTGGCCACCGATGGGGGTGTGGAGGGGGACAGGGCAGGCGAGACCCTATATGCCAAACCCCACTGGGGGCTCCAGGGCCAGAGCCCTATGTGCCAAACCCCACTGGGGGTTCCAGGGCCCAGAGCCTTCCCCAGCACTGCTGCGCATCAGCCAAGGGCCCCCAGGCTCCTGCTCTGACCACGCTCCTGCACGTCATCGTATGGCCCCGGGTCCTTGCTCAGCCTGTCAGGGACCCGCCCACGCCCATCCTCATCAAGAATGCACGCCCCCCCACCCAGGTCTGCACCTGCTCATTGGTGGTGCGGCCCCGAGTGACCAGCACCACGTGGAAGCCCGTGAGGCCGACGACGGGGATGAAGAAGAGGCCGGCCACACACATGACGGCCATGCTGGCCCGTTAAGGCCAACGGCCGAGGGCGAGGACGGAGCAGCTGCCTGTGGACAGACGGCCCAGGCCCTCCCCACCACCCACTCAGGGAAGGTGACCCACACCCCTGGGGCTTCCAGGCTCTGTCCCAGCCCTCTGGGCCTCGACTTCCCCGTGAGATGTGTCCCCAGTCCACACCGCCTTTGTGGTCAGGCCAAGGATACGTGATGGTGGTGTGGGCGGCGCCCAGCCCCTCCGCGTGGTTCAGCACGTAGACCAGCCCGAAGGCGACGACGCCCACCATGTGCGCACTGAGCGACAGCAGGAACAGGAAGAAATAGCGGTAGTTGCGGCGCCCGATGCAGTTGTTGACCCAGGGGCAGTGGTGGTCGAAGTCCTGGGCGAGAACAGCACGTCAGCACTTCGGGGGCGAGTCGGGGCAGAGGCAGGACCCCAGGCGGAGCAGAGGAGGGGTGGGGCGGGGCGGGCAGTCACCTCCACGCAGTTGTCGCAGACGCTGCAGTGGGAGCACCGCGGCGGGCGGTAGAAGTGGCAGGTGGCGCACCACTTCATACGGACCTGGATGCCCCGCACATCCACGTTCTTGTACAGCGGGGCCCGGAAGTCATCCTCCTTGTCCTCGTCCTCATCCGCTGCAGGCCGGGGGCGGCAGGAAATTGACCGTCCTGGCAGGAGAGGCCAGCCCCTCCCCAGCCAGTCCGCTCCCGGCCCGGCTCGCCCTTGTCAGCCACTCACACTCGAGCGAGCGGGGAGCCGCCCCGCACAGGGCCCTACCTCGGGGGAAGACGCCAGGGTCCATGAAGGTGGCCATGCTGAAGTTGGCCAGGACAAAGAGGAAGAGGATGCCATTGTAGACGGGGACGGCTGGGGACACGGCGCGTGTCAACCATGGGCACCTGTGTCGGACAGCAGGGCAGAGCTGGGTCTGGGGGGTGGCAGGTGTGTGGGGAGGGGACGTGGGGCAGCGGCCTTGGGCCACACGCGTGTGGTGCTCGTGGTGGCCACCGGAGCCAGCTCCAACCCAGCTACCCCCGAGCGCCTGCCAGGAACTCAACTCCCAGTTGAGGAAACTGAGGCTCAGATAAGGGCAGGAGGGGTTGGCCAGAGCCAAGTCTTGTCCTCCCACCCCTGTTGGGAATCTTTCCTGGGTCCCCTGCCCCAGGAGGGGTGGACACAGACAGGGGGTGAGAGCCCCTCTCTGCCTATGCACGCTGATGGGCAAAGGCCAGTGACCCGCTGGGCAGCTCAGGCCAGCCCTGGGCCTCACCCAGACCTGTCCCCGGCCTGGCAGGCCCCTGTTTTGGGGAGATTATGGGGTGTGATGTGAAGGGCTGCCTTCCTGGGTCTGTAAATGCATGGTGGGGAGGGTGCATGCTGTTCCCTGTGGGGTGTGGTCTCAGGGCCTGGGTCCAGGTGCATCCGCAGCCAGACAGCCTTGTCTCATTATTTTATGTATTTGTCTGCGGCTGTGTCAGGCCTCAGTTGCGTGGGCACGCAGGATGCAGGCGTGCAGGCTTCTCCCTTGTCGAGGCACGCGGGCTCAGTAGCTGCGACCTGCAGACTGAGCTGCTCTGCAGCAGGTGGGACTCAGTTCCCCAAGCAGGCATCAGATCGGCAGGCGGATCCTCAGCCAGCAGGCCCCCCGGGGGGCCCCCGCCCCTTCTTCCTAGTGTGTCACCTTTCTCTCCTCAGGGCAGTACAGACTTCCTGTGGACTCTGAAGGCACAAGCCCCCTACCCCTTTGCCATCTCTCATCACCCCTCCGCACTGGGCTCCAGGGCTGTCCCCTTTACCAGTAAGCCTTCCCAGACTGCTGGCTCCCTGTGGTCTTGTACACGTCCTCGGTGGACACTCTGGCAGCAGAGTGTCTTCCTAGCCCTCACAGGGCCTGCCCGCAGCCCTCTCTGAGGATGTGCCTGGCCTCAGGCAGGGGCCTGGGGTCCCTGCCCCCACCCTTGGCGGGTCCCCGAGTCTGCCCACCAGGTTACCCCGAAGTGCCTCTGGCTCCAGGCTCCCTGTCCCTCCTTTGCTGAGTAAGGGGTGCTCCTTGGGTCCACTCCTCACACCCAGGCCCTGCATGCAGGCCAGGAGCCCCCGGGATCCCCGACACTGGCCCTGGGCACAGGCCCCATGGCCACGCGGGAGCGAGTCGTGTGGTGGCCCTGGCCAGCCCGCACCAGGCACACTGGCACCCAAGCCTGCCTTGGCCGGCTGCCAGCCCCGCCACCCCAGCAACCACCTCCGTGCGGGTGGAACTTCTCTATTTTTAGTGGAAAGCGAGAGGCTATTTAAAGACTCTGCTCCCACGGCAGCATGCTGGGCGGGCTGGGAGCCACGCGTCACCCCTTCCTCTTCTCAGGGACCCACCATGGAGGTGACACACAGCCCGAGGACACAGCGTCTGTGTGCCGGGCGGCCCACCTCCACCGTGCCTACCCATGGCTGGGAGCAGACTCCTTCCCTATGCCCATCCCTGCATGCCAGCCCGGGCATGCAGGTGGTGGTCCGGCAGGTTTGTGGCCTCCAGTCCAATGCCATTTGGAGGGTCGGTGGTGGGCCCCGGAGGCATGCCCTGCCCAACGGGGTGGGAAGGGCTACCGGCCCAGATGCCAGTGGAGACACAGAGCCAGGCCCGGCCGGGACTGGGGACAGGTGGGCGCGGTAGACCCACCCTGGCACGGAGAACTGGCTCCCCACGCGCCTTCTGGAGATGGCCGGCCACAGCCTCCATGCGGAAGGAAATGTGCTCTCCTGCGGTGGTACCATGGGGGAGCCAGCCCGCTCCAGAGGAAGGGGCCAGGACGGGGAACAGACAGACACGCGGCCGCAAGGTGCAGTGGGATGGCGCACCTGTCAGCCCCGCTTCACCATTGGGGGCAGGTATCAGGGTCATCACCCCACCCCTGGCGGGCCATGCCGCCCTGTCCTCCCTGAGCCTCCGTGGCCCTAAGCGGCAGCGGGACCCGGGCGAGAGCTGCAAGGCAGCAGAGCCATGCTTGCTGGATGGCCTCTGCCCTGGACGGGCACCGCCCGCCCCCCCAGCGCCCCTGGACAGCATGTCCCAGGGGAGGGCAGGGTGCAGCTTCAGCGAGGGCGGGGCAAGCCTGGGGGGACACAGGTTTTCTGACAAGGGCCTGAGCCCCCTCCATTTACCACCTCCAGTCCCCCAGGCTTGACTCGAACACGGGGTCAGGTGTTGCCCTGCACCACAGCCCCCGTCCTTCCGCTCGAAGCCTCCACCCCAGACGTGCCGAAAGGGGTCTCAGGCCTGGGTCCCCCACAGGGACCGGCTCAGTCACCAGTGCTGCCAGGACCCCAGAGCAGCTAAGCAGGGGCGAGGACGAAAGAGCACACGTTCCTGTGAGCACGCACACACACACGTGTGTGGACACTGCACAAGCACACTCATGCACACAGGACATGTGATCAACACGATAGCCAGGTGTGCACTGACGTGCGTACGGACAAGCACACTCATGCACACAGGACATGTGATCAACACGACAGGTGTGTGTGCTGACGTGCGTACGGACAAGCACACTCGTGCACACAGGACATGTGATCAACACGACAGGTGTGTGTGCTGACGTGCGTACGGACAAGCACACTCGTGCACACAGGACATGTGATCAACACGACAGGTGTGTGTGCTGACGTGCGTACGGACAAGCACACTCGTGCACACAGGACATGTGATCAACACGACAGGTGTGTGTGCTGACGTGCGTACGGACAAGCACACTCGTGCACACAGGACATGTGATCAACACGACAGGTGTGTGTGCTGACGTGCGTACGGACAAGCACACTCGTGCACACAGGACATGTGATCAACACGACAGGTGTGTGTGCTGACGTGCGTACGGACAAGCACACTCGTGCACACAGGACATGTGATCAACACGACAGGTGTGTGTGCTGACGTGCGTACGGACAAGCACACTCGTGCACACAGGACATGTGATCAACACGACAGGTGTGTGTGCTGACGTGCGTACGGACAAGCACACTCGTGCACACAGGACATGTGATCAACACGACAGGTGTGTGTGCTGACGTGCGTACGGACAAGCACACTCGTGCACACAGGACATGTGATCAACACGACAGGTGTGTGTGCTGACGTGCGTACGGACAAGCACACTCGTGCACACAGGACATGTGATCAACACGACAGGTGTGTGTGCTGACGTGCGTACGGACAAGCACACTCGTGCACACAGGACATGTGATCAACACGACAGGTGTGTGTGCTGACGTGCGTACGGACAAGCACACTCGTGCACACAGTGACACATCCATACCCACAGACATGGACGCAGACACGTCCCCCTCCGGTGGACCCCCGTCCACTCCCTGTGGGCCAGGCAAGCATGAGGAGGGAGTGAGGAAGTACATGCTCGGTGGGCAAGGCCTGGCAGGCACTGCCCAGGCATTTGAGTCTGCACCGGGCTCCAGGGGGACCTCTTGGCCCTTGGGACGACCCCCACCCCCAATCCCCCGGGGAACGGCGTGCTCAAGGCCCCCCCTGTCAGCTGGGGGTTGGACACTGCCCACCGGGGCAGCCACGCTGCGGGCCCGGGCCGTCCCCCACCTCCCGTGACCCCACCTGGGCCCGCAGGAGGCCCCACCCAGCAGGATGGGGGTTCCACAGGGTAGCAAGCAGACACGGCTAAATGTGGAATGGAAAATTTTAGCTCAGACGTTTTCATTTAAATCGGATTCTTCATTAACATTGCCTAATGAAGCTCAGGCACGGGGCAGCCGGGACCAGAGGGTGGGTGGTCACTCTGCCCTGGTCCAGCCAGGAGGGCCTCTGGTGTCCTGCACCCACCCCACGGACCCCCGAGCAGAGGAGGAAGGTGCCTCAGGGCGCCTGGGCTCCTCAGGCCACACTCAGCAGGTCATGGCAGGGGGCTCACCTCTCCCTGCAGCCCCTGCCAGTGGCCCCGTCCACGTGGGCCCGCCGCAGGCTGGCTTGGTCCTAGGCCGGGCCTCATGGCCCAACTGGGCATAGGGACCACTCAGGTCCATCATGCTGACCCTCATCCAGAGGGGAACCCAGTGGGTCCAGAGAGACAAGACAGCCCAGCCCCCACGTGGGTCCCGGCCCCACAGCACTGGCCCTCTCATGCTCACAGGGTCCCCGTCACTCTGCAGGGTGGCTCCAGGAGTGGGAAGAGGCAGGGCAGGGACCTGGCCTGGGGCTCTCAGACCCCTCCCAGCACCTAAGCCGGCCTGGAACTGAGCCTTCTGGTGCCCAGGGGGACAGGACTGCTCTGAGAACCCAGGAAAGCTTCCTGGAGAAGGGCCACCAGGAACCTCCCCTGTGGCATGCTACCCTTCCTCAGCGGGGGGATCCCCACCTCTGGGCATGCTCACCATGCCCCAGCCTCTCCTGGTGACAGGTCTGAATGTCCTGCTGGCCAAGCCGCTTAGCAGGCTGGCCCAAGGCAGGGGTCCCCGGTTCCCTCAGCCTGGGCTCCCACTCCGAGCCACACCAGGAACTGCTGTCTGCACCGACCTGCCTCAAATGGGCAGCTCGTATTTCCTGAGCTCAGAGAGAGGCTGGGAGCCCCAGCATCCAGCAAAGTCCAAGAGGCAGAGAAGACAAGAGTCCCGATCCCACGGGGGCCTGAGGTGGGGTGAGGAGGGCTCTGGAGCGGGAGTCGGGCTCCACGCAGGGCCTGGGACCAGAGCTAGGGGGACATGAGGCCTGTCCAAGAAGGCACTGCCCAGCCCCCTGCCCGCCCAGAATGGACCACTGCAGACAGCATCACTGGGCCTGGGTGGCCTGGCAGAACCCTCGCAGAACTGCACCACCTTGGTGGAGCCCAGGAGGACTGGGCTGAGAGCAGGCCGGGTTCCTTGATGGTCACTTGGCCAAGGAGCACGGCCCGGGGGTGCAAGGAGGGTCCCCGGGCAAGAGGACTGCTGCGCCTGGACCCGGCCCACACCCCTGTGTCCCCACCTTCTGCAAGGAGCTGCCCTGGGGCGCTGAGCACAGAGGTAGGGCAGGGACCTTGCACACCCGCCCCCGGGGGTGGGGCCATCGGGACCCTCTGAAATCAAGGGAAACCACAGGACAAGACCCCTTCCTTGGGGGGTCAGGGTACTCTGAGCAGGAGAGGGGATGGTGCTGAGCTCAGCTTCTTATTAAACTTTTCCCTTGCATCTCACAAGTTCTCACCAAGAACACGAATTCCTTTTAAAGTCAGAAGGACTAACGCTGAATTGCACCTGGGGGTGAAGAACCAGGACCAGCGAGCGGAGGCCAAGCTGTGAGGAAGCAGGGCTGAGGCTCCCCCGGGGACCCCTGCCCGGGCCCAGAGGCCAGAGCAGGGAGCCCGTCCCCCAGAAGCCCCTGCAGGACACGTCCCCCCTCGGCCCGCGCCCGCTGCCCACAGCCAGCAGCATCTCAGTGACGAGAACACGTCTGCGCGCCAAAGCCAGAAATAAGCCCATCCACACAGCCTTTTTTAAACACGCTCCTGGCAGCCTGTGGTGCCCACCCAGCCCAGTAGGGCCCACTCACCTGTGGGCACCCAGTGCAGCCTGGTCAGCCTCGGACCACTGCCCACGCCCCTGCCGAGGGGAAAGGGTGCCCTGCTGACAGCAGTCAACCCAAGCCTCGGGTCCCCAGGAAGGCCAGAGCGGTAGTTACTCTGGTCATCTGGCCATGTCCCAGTCTGGAAACTGTGGCAGGAGGTGGCCGCAGACCTGAATGGCTGAAGCCGGGGTCCCCAACCACTCCCTGTGCCTGGGGTGGGGGGCAGGGGGCGGGGGCAGGGTGCAGGGTCACCACAATGCAGACGGAACCTTGTCATCAGCACTTGCCTGGCGTGCACCAGCCCAGGACCAGCCAATCCCCTGACTCAGGGTCCCAGTGCCCATGGAACCAGTATCCCTGGGTGTGGCCTGGTCAGGCCCTTTGGCCATGACCATTGGGCCTTCCTGAGGAGGTCAAGGGAAAGAGGAGAGCAGTACCAGGCCAGCATCGGTGGTGGCCATGGGGCAGGCACGTGGCAGCCGGGCCAGGCCACACCTACGCTGGAACAACTTGGCTGTGGCCTGGGGCCAGATGGCCGGGAGGGCACCCGGGAGCCACCGTCCACTGTTTGCAAGCAGGGCTGGTGGCCCTGGGTGGCCGTCGTCCCCTCACGGGCCCACGGGGAGGGCAGGGCTGCAACCACACCCTGTGCAGACCCACATGCACTCTGCTGCCCCGGGCAGGCACCTCGCACCCAGGGGGGCTTGCCTGGGCACTGGGCGGGGGGTGGGGGGGGTGTGCCTGCCGGACCCCAGGGTCCTCACACCCAGGACTCACCTGGCCCTGCCTGGCTCCCAGCATCAGCCTTGGCCCAGGGTGGAGGCTCGCGGCACCCACAGCCCTGTGCCCCCCGCCAGGCCCAGCCCACTGTCCGGCCCCGACGGGGTCCAGTCCCACCCGGCGGCGTCCAGCACCCTGCGCGCAGCCCTGCCCCTTCTGGCCCCGGCGCCCGCCGCGGCCGACTCACGTGAATACGAAGAACAGGGTGCTGGAGCCGACCAGCAGCGCGGCCGCCGTGGCCACCGGGATGTACTTGGCGGGTTTGAGGCGCGTCCCGGGGCTGCGGGGCATCCTGGGTGCCGCGCCGCCGCATCCCTCCCCGGGGCCGGGCGGGCGGGGCCGGCAGGACGGGCTGGACCCAGCGGCGGCGGCGGCCCGGGAGGAAATCCCACCCCGCGGGCGCGGCGGCGCGGCGGCGTGCTGATGTCAGCGCGCCCCTTAAGGTGGACCGGCGCGCGGGGCCAGGGGCCAGGCGGGGCCCCTCGCCACCGCCGCCCCGCCTGCGCTCCCCAGCCTTCGCTGGGGGCGGGGCTGGGCTCGGACCCTCCTGCCGGGGGAGCCCCTCCGGGCCACTCTAGCCAGGAACCCACGACCCTGGAGGGCTGCTGCGGGCCCGCGCACCTGGGGTCTGGTCCATCAGGGTTCGCGCTGCCGCCAGGCCCCACGTCTGGCCCACGGGCTCTGCGCGGGGCCCTTTTGGCGCAGACCTTTCCCTGAACACCTCCAAGCTCCTGCGGGTCAGGGCCAGGCCCCTCCTGCCTGGAGCACCCCCCTCCTGCCCCAGGACATGTCCAAGGGTGGCCGATCGTGAAAGGGCAGGGCACCTTAGTGGTTTATTCCTTGCCCACTTCATAGCCCCTGAGCCAGACGAGAGGGTGGCGGCCTGCAGGGTAAAGAGTGCGGGGCGCTGGCCCTCCCTCCCCTGTCCCAGGCTACAGGCCTCAGGGGAGAGTGGGGCACCCTGCCCCTGCCTAGAACAGGACGCCCCTGGGCAGGCTTACCCCCTGCAGGAAACCCCACCTCCGGACCCCGCAGCTGCCACTTAAGGTGGACCTGACCACAGTGAGGTCGGGCCAGCCTGGGTCCTCTCCCAAGTGGGAATCCATGCAGGGGCGGGGGGGAGGCGCGGGGCCTGCTTCTCTGCGGCCAGAACCTTGTGCAGCCCTGTGCCCGGGCCACTCCGGCTGGGTGACCCTGCCTGGCCCGGGGCCCCAGGGCAGCTGCTGGACAAAAGAGATGGTGCGGGTGTCCTCCCGCCACCTGCAACCACAGCCTCTGCCCGCTGGGGAGCAGCCCCCAGGAGGCCCCGGGTGGCAGGCAGGTGGGGAGTGGATACCTCCTGGCTCTACCCAGCTGCCTCCGCCTCCAGTGGCCCGAGGTCCCGAGGACACACTGCAGTCCTAGCCCTGGCCCCTCAGGGGCTCTGGATCTGTAGGGGGTGAGTGCGGGGCATGGGCAGGAAGGATGTGAGTCCCTCTGGGCATAGGGTCCCAGGGAGTTGTGGCCCAGGGATCCCTTCCCAAGGGCAGCGGGGGGCAGGCCTGACCTGCAGGCTGAGGGCTGACATGGACCAGGCGGCCACTTCCCTTCCCCACCCCACCCTTTCACCCCACCCCACACAGCGTGGCTCAGGGCCAAGCACAGTTGGGGCATCCTCCAGCTGGGTCCTCCTGCCATGCTCCCCAAACCCCTGCCCCCACGGGATTCCCTCAGAGCTGGTGGTCTCTGCGGAGGACACGGCCTCACAGGCGCTGACCGTGCATTTGGGAGACGACCCCCCCCCCCCCAGGNCCCCCCCCCCCCCAGGATGCCCCACCTCTACCCAGGCAAGAGGGCCCGGAGTCACGTCGGAGACTCTTCTCTGAGGACGGTCACGGGGCTGAGCCCAGCTCCAGGTCGAATGGGCAGCTCTGCCTGGTCAGAGGGCCACCCAAAGACGCCCGGTCAGAGCCCGGGGCACACCGAGGGCACCTGGTGGGCGTCCTCACCCCAAGGCCAGGGGCAGAGCGAGGGGGCGGCGCACACACGTCCTGCCTCCGTGCAGGTTTCAAATGTGTTGTTTATTCGCTATTTTGATGACTATAAATAAGTGTTTCCACTATGGAAAAGAAAGTTAGCACGGTACATTCTCATGACCAGGGAATAGATTTTCTGAAGTTGTCTTCATGAGGGCAAAAACTTAGAAAAAAAACAACCTGAATGTTGGAAGTCAGTTCTTTATATAAAGTCCCTTGTAAAAACAAAACAGAATAAAAACAAACCAAAAAGAAGGCGCAGGGAAAAATTAAAAAAAGAAACGGGGGAGACGGGGGCAAGGTGCCCGGGGCGCCTCACTGCTCCTCCTCGGCCGCCGCTGGGGCCACGTCCTGGGGCTGCTCGCCTTCCTGCACGGAGAGTGCCTCGAGCTTCTCTGCTACCTTCTCGGCGCTGTCGTTCTTGCCAGACCCTGGGGGACACAGGGGCACAGTGAGGGAGGCGCGGCAGCCAGCCGGGCCCCAGAGTCTCCAGGTGAGCATATGCCCGGGATGCCGGTGGTAGCACAAGCCTGAGCAAGCAGGCACCACAAGCACCTTCCCAAGCCCCCGCAGCCCCGGGGAGACACGGCTGGCCCGCCCCCAGAAAGCACCCGTGTACCGGGGTAGCTGTGCTGCCCTTAACAGGGCAGAGATCACAGCCCCCCGCCAGTTCCTGTGGCAGACGGAAAAAGCACCCGCCTGGGGCTGCAGCTGGGTGCAGAGTGAGTCTGCAGAGCCCCCCCCCCCCCAACCTCCCACGGGCCTGCGGCACCTTTTTTTTCTTTCTCTTCAATCTCTTTCCTGCATTCTTCAAACTTTGTCTTAAATTTCTGTGCATCTGCAGAGATAAGAGAGGACGCCCCCAAAGATCCTGAGCAGCAAGGGGGACGCAGTCCTGGACGGTCCCAAGGACAGCCCATTCCCATCCGGGCAGCCCATCCTGCCAGGCACTGTGCTGGAGCAGGCCCTGCAGAGCACAGGCGGCCAATGACTGGCTGCCACTCTCGACAACACAAGCGGGAGGATGCCCTGGCCTGGGGAGGGCAAGCTGGGCACAGCCCTGTGAGCACAGACCTCTCCAGAGGGCCCCCCGCACACATCCGGGTCCACTTACTCTCGGCATTGAGGAAGCGAATGGCCAGCAGCTCCTGCTTGGGGCACTCATCGGCGAAGTCAGCATGGGTATTCCAGACCCAGGCACGGTCGCTGCCCGCGTTCGGCTTCAGCTCCATCATTGGCGTGACTAGAGGGAGAAACCCCATGAGGACCACGTGGCTGCCAAGCCGGCCACCCCTGCCCCGACCCCTAAAGGCCCAACTGGAGCAAAAGCCTGGTTGGAGGTTCACCATCCAGGCCCAGACAAAGGTTTGTGGGTCTGGATCTTATCCAAAGGCCTGAAAACTCCCCGTGTCCACTTAAAAGCAAGACTGTACTGAATCTGGGACGAGGGCAGTCACTCCCTGACCCGGGGACACCTCAGCAGGGGTCTCCAACGCCACCAGACCCGTTCACCACCCGCTGCCCCGGCCCTGTCCCTGTCCAAGCAGACCCAAAGGCAGATGTGGACCACAGCTGGGCAGGCCCAGCCTTCCTGAACAGGGTGCCCACCACGGGGCTGAGTCCACACTTGGCCACACATCAGGACCCGGCCCACAGGAGACAGGGCTATAGCCGAGATGCATAAGCCGCAAGTGGGGTGAAGGAGACCCACCACTCTCGGCCTTGCACTGCCCAGGGACATCCCAGGGAAAAAGGCCACTGAAAGTGGACACCGAAGGCCCATGACCAGCTTGTACGCCAGAGATCGAGCCACGTCCAGGAATCAGCGTGGGCGCCCATCCCTCACGCCACGCAGAAACTCAAGGAGACCAGCTTCTCAAGAAATGAGTGCCCCACAGCCACATTTGCCCCACATGCCTGGCAGAAGCCTCCCAGGACCAGCCCCAGGAACGCATCACACTCAGCACCAAGACCACTAATCCCAGCCCAGCCCCCCGGTGAGCCCGCGTGCCTACCGGGCACTTAAGGCCCCACTCTGCCACCACCCACCCACCTGCACACCAGGCCAGAGACCCGGTGACCAGCCAGGCTCTGGGAGAAGCACGATCAGGGAAACATCCTGGGAAACACCTCAAACTGGGCTGGAGAACAAGGACCAGGCCAGAAACGGCAGGCTGGTCTGGGCTGAGACGGGCGACCTCGGAGCGCGGACACGAGGGCTGGTCCACGAGTGTCGATGGGACCCTGGTACTGGGAGGCCCGCGCCCACCTGTCCAGCCACATCACCCTTCCGGGCTGCTCCCTCCGATTCCAGTCCGGTCAGCCCTGCGCCCGGATCGCACCGCCCCCGCCCTGCTCACTGCAGTGATTGGTGCAGATCTTGCGGGTTCCCCGCCCCGCCCTCGGTGACCCCGCCCACTGCAGTGATTGGTGCAGATCTTGAGGGTTCCCGCCCCCTGAGGCCCCGCCCCTCTCCCCGCCTACTGTAGTGGTTGGCGCAGATCTTGAGGGTCTTGTCCCTGCGCATGAGCAGGCGGATGGTCCCCTTCTCCTTGTGCTTCAGCAGCTTGACGTCCCCCGTGCCCCGCTCCTTCCACTCCGGGAGGTCGTTCTCTGAAGCAAATCGGAAGAGCTTGGCTCTCCTGCGAGGAAAGCACCGGGGCGAGGCGTTAAGCGGGCGTAGGAGGGACAAGGCCGCGTCTGCACCCGAGGCCTCGCCAGAAATCCCTTTTACTCCAGAACCGCAGGTCAGGACGTCAATAGAAAAGCGAGGAGGCCCAACGAACCCCAAGTCTTACAGAAAAGCCTGACTGCTCAGAGGGCCCACTGCAGTGCCGGCCGAGGAGGCCATCACGGTGCGGGGGCTCCCTGGCGCCACGGATGCTGGCCGGAGATGAGGAGCCTTTCCTTTGCTGGGAAGACAGGCTGCAGGCCTCCACTAGAGCCACAGGCTCTGGGCCGAGACCTGGCCTTCCTGCCCACAGCAGCCCGGCCCTCTGCCTTACCAAGGACCCCAGCTCTGCCGGTCCCTTTCCTGCGAAGACTGCTCTCCGCGCCACATGCAACCATCAAGGGAGCAGTGGGCCCAGGAGGAGGCCCCTCCCAATGGCCCAGCCTCCCTGGGGAGGTGGGGAGGCACAGACAGCACTCCCACCCCAGGCACTTGGGGCTGGTGTCCAGCCTCCCAGTCTTAGAGGAGGGTCGGCAGTGCTGGTGATCCCCTCTGCTTCCCTCCTCTGACCCACAGCAGAGGACTCAAACCGTACTTGTGTTTCTGAGGGAACTTGAAGGGGTAAAGAGTCGGCTCCTCCTTCCCTCCCACGGCCCAGCGATTCCCACTAACTTGCAGCCTCTCCCAAGGGCCCTGTGTGTCGTGCGGTGCCGGCACTCTGTCACAATCACCTAGCCACATGGCTTCTGTGAGTGCTGCTTTAAGGTGACATGGCCACCGTAACCTCTTGTTGAAGGCACCAAGACCACAAATGATTTTTTAAAAATATAACTTCGATGACTAACCACCCACCTTTTATCTGTAATTCCAAGCATCATTTCGTACATTAAAAATACTGAATCGGAAATTCAGGAGCTTCAAAGAGTGTCAGTGCCAAAGAGGAAAAGACAGTGTTGGTAAAGACCCGATGCTCAACCAGAGACAGGGGGCTGTGGGAGTCTTAAAGGCAAGGTGGCAAAGACAGGGGTCTGTGAAGCTGTCAGCTGTGGGCAGAGCGGGACAGGCCTCAGGGCAGTGTGGGTCCCAGGCGCCAGGAATGAGTGTATTCAAGAGCTGCTTAGTCTCAATATGGGAGTAACCATCACAAAATCCTGTGGTTAAAGATCAAGCCGAGACCTTAACACCTGTTAAGAAAAACACTTTCGACCTCAAAGTGAATGTGCCTACTTCTGAAAAGATGCCAACTTACATTTTAAAAAGTTCCTCTTCATCTTCTTCCAGCGTTTTAATTTCTTGCTCGGGAAGAGAAACTATTGGCTCAAACTGGGGGTCGTGGTTGGACTCATCAGCATTCTCGGTGGAGGTGTCGTGGTCCTCGTGGGTGTCCTGCAGTGGCGGGTGGAGACGTGAGTGACCCTTCTGGCTGCGCCAGACCCCACCAGTGCCCAGAGCGAGGCATTCCCACTAGTGAAGGACCTACCACCCCCAAAGCCTTTCTCCAATCTGCAGTGAGACACTGGACTCCGACATCCTCTTTCAGATGCAAGGACACCACCTCACAGGCTCCCCAAACTCCCCCGCACTTCATTTGTAAGATGGGAACACAGATGTTGCCACGTGCAGATTAAGGGGACAACGACGGGGTGGGGGGTGGGGAAGGGCCTCGAGTCGAGCACTCCTCTTACAAGCCCTTTTGAGTTTTTATTGGGTGAGAAAAATCTGTGCTCTTGCTTAAAAGTTGTGGCGGCGTCCTAATATATGTGCAGAATTCAGTTCTGCCAACAATTTTATCTCGGTTGGGGAAATGACGTGTAAATCACGAGAATTCACGCAAATAAAAGCCCCAAAGTTCGGATCCAGCACGGAGGACTAACTACGGGGCACAAAGGATCAGGTTTTGGGCTGTCTCACGGAGCACGTGGCTTAGAGATCCATAGCCCCGGAGGGTAAGACGCCCGGACAGAGATCCCCGGCTCGGCCCAGGAACGCAGGCCTCCGCCGGCCACTCGAAACCCCCCCCCCCTCCGCACCACGAGCCCCGGTGGCCAAGGGCCGCCCGCCAGGCCGCGCGGGCGCGGAGGCGGGTAGCGGCTCGCGGACCGACACCGGATGAATCGGGCTCCGCGGCCTCTCGGCGGCTGCTCGCAGCTCCTTCCTCCGCGTCTGGCGCCGGCGCCTCCCGCCCGCCCGCTGGCTCACTCACTCGCTCTTCCCTCCGCCCCGCGACCCGAACCCCGACCCCTGACCCCGGCGGCGGGAAACGCGCCGCTATTCAAAACCGGCGCAGCTTTATTGGGCTCGGGCGGCGGACACTCGCATTGTCCGGCCCGCCCCGCGCTTCCCGCCAAAACGCCCGCGGCGCATGCCCGGCCAGCCAGGCAGGATGGGATGGGGGACGCGGGAGGAGCACGCAGTCCCGGCGGCCCTCTCGCGCACTTCCGCCCCGCGGCCGCGCGCGCGCCCCTGGAGCTAGAGGTCTGGGCTGGGGGAGGGGTGCTCGAACGGCGCGTGGTGATGACGTCGCCGGAAGCGGGGACGATAGAGACGCGCCTCCTGCGCTGTGCACGCCGGCGGCCGGGCGGTAGGGCGGCAGGCCTAGGTAGCAGGCGGGTGCGGGCGCCTGGCGGGCGGGCGGCGCAGCGCGTGGCCGAGGCCCGGCCCCGAGGACCGGGGGTTCGAGTCCCGGGCCCCTCCCAGGCCACTGCCGGACGGTGTGCGCTCCAGGCCCCAGGCGAGGCGACGGACGCTGCGGACGATGGGGGACGAGTTGGACGGCGAAGTACGTTGCGGGGGAGCTGGCCGGGCTGGGGGCCGCGACCGCGATGGGCTCCGGGCGCGCGGACCGCTACCAGCTCCGCGCCTGCTGTTTGCACGCAGGGCCAGGCGCACGTCGGGGATCCCGGCCAGGACGGCGTCGCGGCACCGGGCCCGCGGCGGGAGGAGGAGCAGGCAGCAGCGGCCGGGCCATCGGAGCCGGGGCCCTACGGATACATCCGGGCCGGCCTGTTCACCTCGGAGGTCTTCAAGCTGGAGCTGCAGAACGTGCCGCGCCACGCCAGCTTCAGCGACGTGCGGCGCTTCCTGGGCCGCTTCGGGCTGCAGCCCCACAAGACGAAGCTCTTCGGGCAGCCGCCCTGCGCCTTCGTGACTTTCCGCAGCGCCGCCGAGCGCGACAAGGCCCTGTGCGTGCTGCACGGGGCGCTTTGGAAGGGCCGCCCGCTCAGCGCGCGCCTGGCCAAGCCCAAGGCTGACCCCTTGGCCAGGAAGAGGCGGCAAGAGGACCGGGGGGAGCTCTCCGCCGGCCCGGCCGCGTGCGTCGCCGACGTGGTGACCCCTCTCTGGGCCGTTCCCTACGAGGAGCAGCTGGAGCGGAAGCGGCAGGAATGTGAGCAAGTGCTGCAGAAGTTGGCCAGGTGAGTGTGGGCGCGGGCACCCCGGGCTGGGCGCGGCGTTCGCTCAGCCCACTCCCAGAATCTCAGACACAGCCTCTTAGGGAGTCATCCCAGTAAGAGCCCTGTGTTCCTGGCTCAGGACAGTGGGTCCTGAGCGCCCCCCGGGTGGGGGGTGTTCGGAGCCCCACCGATGCCCCTTCTCTGCCCACAGGGAGATCGGGAGCACCAACCGCGCCCTGCTGCCCTGGCTGCTCTCACAGAGGCACAAGCACAACAAGGCCTGCTGCCCGCTGGAGGGCGTCCGGCCCTCCCCCCAGCAGGTTAGGTCTAGGTCTTGGGGTCCCACAGAAACTTCTCCCACTTGGTCCTCCTGTCCTCAGAGCTGTTTCTGGTTCTCACCAAACACCCATTGGTTGCTGTCAGCATGGTGCCTTCAGCTGCCAGGCCCGTGGGGGAGCCTGGGTCTAACATCACCTCTGCACTGCCAGTGTTGGGATGGTCAGAGTGAGAACCATTGTCTTTCTTGTTTCCATTGGCCTGTCCTGCAGACCGAGTATCGGAACAAATGCGAGTTCCTGGTTGGTGTCGGCGTGGACGGGGAGGACAACACAGTGGGCTGCCGGCTCAGCAAGTACAAGAGCGGGACGTGTGCCGTGGCAGCCCCCTTCAACACCGTGCATATCCCTGGGGCCACCAAGCAGGTGGTGAAGGCGTTCCAGGAGTTCATCCGGTGAGGTCCTGGCGGCCTGGGATATCCGAGGCTGTCTTGAGAGGAGAAGACGGGGTCCACCCCGGAGGGGGCTCTGGTGGTGGGGCTGGAGGACACAGAACTGGGGGCAGACATGGGCACTCAGGGCCCTCTGTGGCTCCCGCAGGTCCACTCCCTACTCAGCATACGACCCGGAGACATACTCAGGTCACTGGAAGCAGCTGACCGTGCGTACCAGCCGCCGCGGCCAAGCCATGGCCATTGCCTACTTCCACCCACAGGTCTCAGGCGGGCAGTGTGTGGGAGGGGCGTCTGGGCCAGACTGGACTTGGACGGTCTCACTGGCCCTTTCTACTGCCTGCTCCAGAACCTGAGCCCGGAGGAGCTGGCGGGGCTGAAGGCATCTCTGGCGCAGTACTTCATGGAGGGACCGGGCAAGGCCAGTGGGGTGACCTGCCTCTACTTCGTGGAGGAAGGACAGCGGTCAGTAGTCGGGACAGCTGGGATGGTCTTCGTGAGGACTGTGACTGACTGCTCCTCTCGCACCCACAGAAAGACCCCCAGCCAGGAGGGCCTGCCTCTGGAGCACGTGGCCGGGGACCGGTGCATCCGTGAGGACGTGCTTGGGCTGACCTTCCGCATCTCCCCCCACGCCTTCTTCCAGGTGGCTGGAGCCTGGGCTCAGGAGGGCGCTTGGGGTGGCGGGCCAGGGTGACCAATGGGCAGAGTATCTGGGGGGAGCCCAGGGCCACAGGCGGGATCTGCGGTGCCTGCTGCCACAGGGCCTGCCAGGGCCGGCACTCAGGAGGAAGTAGTGGGTGGCGGCACTGAGCTGTGTTCTTGAGCCAGGAGACTGAGTGGCTGGAGGGGCCTTACGGCGCCCAGGGAGTTGGAGGTGGGGAAGCAGTGAGGGAGCCGGGTGGGGGGTTGCTCTGACGGCCCGGCCCGCACCCAGGTGAACACCGCTGCGGCTGAGGTGCTCTACACGCTCATCCAGGACTGGGCCCAGCTGGATGCGGGCAGCACGGTGCTGGATGTGTGCTGTGGCACAGGCACCATCGGCCTGGCCCTGGCCCGGGTGAGCCCCCCCACGCCAGCCAGGCGCACCCCCTGCCCCACTCCTGTCGTCCCACTTCCTGTTGTGTGCCCCCCACCCTGTACCAGCCCCTCCTTCACTGCCCCAGGAGTCCTAGGCTGGGCGGTCATCAGTCCCTCCTGTCCCTGTTCCAGAAGGTAAAGAGAGTCGTGGGGGTCGAGCTGTCCCAGGAGGCTGTGGAGGATGCACGGGTGAACGCCCTGGACAACGGTGAGGGCCAGTGGTGGCGGGGTGGCCAGGTGGCCCTGAGCCCTTACCACCCGTGGGGCGGGGGCAGAGAAGGCCCCACTGAGGACCCACGGTGCACCACACCACCTGGGGCTGTCCCGCAGGGAAGGGCTTTCCTTGGGCGTCTTGGTCCTGGGGCTCTGGGACATGGTGGTCTGGCAGGCCTGTGGGAGGGGTCGCGGGCTGCCTGACACGGCTGCTCTGCCCTTGCAGAGCTGAGCAACGTGGAGTTCCACTGTGGCAGGGCCGAGGAGCTGGTGCCCACCCTGGTGAGCAGGCTGGCCTCCCAGCAGCTTGTGGCCGTCCTGGACCCGCCCCGTGCCGGCCTGCGTGAGTGGCTGCCTCCCCAGGGGCTGCCCGGGCCTTCCCCTTGGTGGGTGGCCTCGGGGACCCCTGTTGAGGTTCGGTGTCTGCTCAGACTCCAGGGTGGTCCTGGCTGTGCGCCGCGCAGAGAACCTGCGGAGGCTGCTCTACGTGTCCTGCAACCCGCGGGCAGCCATGGGCAACTTCGTGGAGTGAGTGTAGGGTCAGGTGGGTGGCTGGCTGCCTGGTTCGCCCCTGCAGGGGGCCCACCATACCCCTACACTGACCATGCTTCACCCTATACAGTCTCTGCAGGGCCCCGTCCAACCGCGTCAAGGGCACTCCCTTCCGGCCGGTCAAAGCTGTGGCCGTGGACCTGTTCCCTCAGACCCCACACTGTGAGATGCTCATTCTCTTTGAGAGGGTGGAGCATCCCAATGGTGCGGGGGCCCTGGAGCCCCACAAGTCTGTGGTCCAGACCCCACCAGCACCCCCAGGTGACACCTCGCCGGAAGCCAAGGCCTCCCCAACTTCTTAGGGGCTGCAAAAACCAACCCTTCTGCAACAATACCTGGACAGCCACAGGCAGAGCCTGGGGTCCTCAAGGCCTGCCCAGGATGGCCAGGCAGCCACAGAGGCCACCAAGCCTGTCCCTCACCCCCAAATGGGCCACAAGGACTGGAATAAACAAGTGCTGAACCGCCAGTGTGTATGGTGTGAACACAGGGGGGCAGGCCCCAGAAGGCATCTCGGAACTGGGAGCAGCCAGGAGTCCCAGCAGAGCCCGTGCTGCTCAGAGGTGCAGGGCCTGGGAGCCAGCCGCACAGGGCACAGTGCTGCTGCCCCACCTGCTTGTCTCTGCCCCAGAGGAGGCCCCTCCTGGTGGCAGCGAGCGCTGAGGGGAGCTGGCAACCCCCACTCTCCAGGAGGCTGTGGCCTGTGGAGGACCGGCAGGTCGTTCCCCTTCCCGCCCATCGAGGCTCGTGACTGTGGCTGGGGGCCTAGCTGCCCCTGCAGCAGAGCTGTGCCCACACCTGGGGAAGGGAACAGAGGCAGGACAGACCGTGGCGAGGTCACCACCTCCAGCCTGCGCGAGGCACTGTCAAGGTGGCGCGCTGGCTGTTTTAAGGGGAAACAGTCAAGTTGTTATTCACCACCGTAGACAGAACAGGACAGAAGCGTATAATTACAGCGACTTGATTCGTGGATTGTTTTACAAAGGTCCACGGGGGGGCCCGACCTCAGTCATGTGGGAGGGGGGCATTCTGAAGGCTCCGCAGCTAAGGGTGGGACAGACCCACCCCCATCCACCGGACTGCCTGGTCACGCCGCACAGCTGCACATAAAATCGAGGGCCACCTGCGCCAGAGTGAGCATCTTCAGCTCCTTTTTAAGTAAGTCCACGAGCTAAAATGCATTAACTGGTCACATCTGCTACGTGATTCCACACCTATCTCTACCCTCACTGTAAAAGCTTCTTTCCAAACGCTAAAATATCATAAAAGCTTTAAAAATTGATGGGTGGACAGACTGGACTGTGCAAAAATTTAGTAAAAAATTAGCAGAGGCCAGCAAACGTGAGGGGCCTCTATCTATGAAGATGTGTTCAGGGCTCTAAGAACAGACGCTGGGCCGGCAAGCAGGCAGGGCAGCACCCACGCCCACGGGCAACACCTCTCTAGGTGAAGAAAGATCACCATGGTGGTTTGCCTGCAACCTCTGAAATACTCCTTCCTACTGTTAACTTTTTCAGAGAAAAGACGGAAAACCCAGGAGGCTGGAAGGGGAGGGGTACCGGCCTGCACCTTCTGGCTGGGTCCCTACATGCCTGTGGGAGCCAGGGTGCACGGCCTTCGCATTTCATGTCATCAACTATCACTTCTGGTCAGTGCACATTACACAGAAAATTCATGAAAAGCTTCAGGGTCTGTCCACATGAGAAGAGCCCCACGGCGATCTCCCAGCTGTCCACGTCCGCCTGTGTGGCAGGTGGGTGGAGGCCGGAACACGGCCACCGGGTCCTTAGGTGGCCCCCAGGAGGAGCTGCGTGGGCCTGCTGTCAGGCACGCAGCAGGGCCGTGGAACCAGAGGCAGATCCCCAGTGCACTGGCAGCCCCGAGCTGGCTGCCCTCACACATCCACGGTGCAGAGGGGCTCGCCGCCAGGCTGCGCAGACGCCACGATGGACATCTTGGGCTTCTTGCGTGTCTCCTCCCGCTCCTCCGCCAGCCGCCGCATCTCCTCCTGCAGCTTGCTCAGGATATGCAGGTTGGGCTTGTTCTTGCGGGCAAACTGCTGCAGCTCGATCACACTCTTGTCCGAGGTCTCCTGGGGAGCAGAGCCTGCTGGTGGCACCGGCCAGGGCCTCCCGTCCCGCGACCCACCTGCCAAGCTGCTAGCCACCCCTGGTTCCACTGCCTTGGGTGCAAGGGTCCACCGGCCCCCACAGCCTGCCAGCCACAAGCCAGGCACACACCATGCCCAGAGGCCTCTGCCGAGGGTGACCAGGTCCCAACGTGGTCGGGGGGACAGCATGCAGGGGCCCAGGCTCACCCTGCCCCACGGCCACCAGAAGCCTGAGGACCGACACCACGCTCCCCGCACTCTCATAGGGTGAGTGCCGTGTGAGGACGCCTACGGGCCGCACCCCCCCCGATGGCTCTGGGGCCTCCCGGCAGGGCCGGGCACACTTCTCCCCAGCTCCTGGCCGAGGAAGACCCTCTGCACGCAGAGACAGGAAGGTAGTGACTCAGCCACGCACAGCCCAGCACCTCAGGGCCCCCCACACTACCCCAGCCCAGACCCAGGAGCTCTTCGGGGACGACTGGGGTGCCGCCCGCCGTCCTCACCCTCCACACCCACCACTCACTGGGGACCGTTTCTGAAGTCAGGGGAAAAACTCAAAGACCACAGATGTCAGTTCCCTGTACTTTGCCCTAAATGCACAAAAACTTAACAGTGTTGTGAAACCTCAACATCTTGGCCAAAACAGAGGACACACATGGCCTGTTCAGAGGCACGCCGTGCTGGTGCCTGGGACAGCACCCGCGTGCACTCGCCCGGCCCCCCATTACCTGCTTGACCATCTTGCTGCTCTCACGGCCATACATGCGCAGCAAGGACCCCCAGTTCTTGACGTGCGGGTGCAGCAGCTGCAGGATCTTCTGAGATGCCAACTGCTTCCCAACGCGCTTGTTCTTGCCTGGGCGGAGATGTGGACATGGAGTCAAGACACCCACATCCACAGGGCACCGTGTCCAGACGGGCACACCCCACACAGCCCCGCCCGCCAGAGGCTCGGGGAGGGCAGGATGTCCCCCAGGACGCAGCTCTCGAGGCCCCCTGCCTGCAGCTGCAGACACACAGACGATGCGTCCCGCAGGGCAGGCTGGGGGCAGGGGAGAGTCCTGCGCGGCAGATGTTTCTAGACGGAGGGAGGAGAGGCCAGGGTGCAGAACAGACTGGAGGGGCGCGGGGCCTCTGCCCCCTGCTCAGGGCTGGGCTCAGCCAGCGCTGGTGTCCGTGGGGACGGCCCAGTCTGCACAGTCTCCCGCAGCCTGCTTGGGCATGACCTTCTCCCAGCACCTTACCCGGTGCTGGGCTGTGTTTAAACAGTCCCACAGTCTCTGTGTGAGGCCACCTCCAGCCCCGGGCGAGGCGAAGAACAGCAGGCCCGCTCCCCTCCCAGGGACCCAGCAGTGGGCGGGCCGTGCCGGCAGCCGGGACCACGGCCCAGCCAGGTGAGCAGCTCAAGGCCGGGACACTAGCCGCCAGAGCGGCGTGCAGGCTGGCTGGGTCTCAGGGTGATGTGCGGTGTGGTGGGCGTACCTGGGCGCCGTCAGCACATGGCTGAGGCCCAGGTGAGCCCAGGCAGTAGACCTGCGGTCACTGAAAGCAGGTACATGCGTGTGCAGGGTGGAGGGGCGGGGGGCTTACACCAGCCGCGCACTGTGTGCTTGCCACACGCCATGACGTATTCGCTCTTCTGGTTTTTACCAGGAACTACTTCAAACTTGATGGAGGTGTCTCCCATCCCGTGGTTTCTGGTGGACAAAGCAGACAGTAAGCAACATCGCCCCGAGATGGCACCCACCATCCTCCCGAAACCGCGGCTCCCATCCCAAAAGGGCTCTCTCAGGACCCCCGCCAGTACCCTGGAGAGGTCCCGGGCAGGGACACCCCACCTTTTAAGGCACTCATGGAGGATTTGGTAGGGCGACAGCAGCCCGGCCTTGCTGGTCAGCTCGTAGACCCTCGAGTCCTCGATACTGATGTGGTTGAAATACTACAAAGGGAAGCGGCTGGTGAGTGCCGGCCACGCCCGGGGCCCGTCCAGCCGCCCCCGCCCTTGTCACGGCCTCTCAGCGTTGCTGCACCCACACCTCAGGCCCGGTCGCCCGAGACACGCCTGCCTGCTGGCCTCAGAGCCCGTCCTGAACCAGAGTCTGATCAGACCACTGGCCAGAAAGCTAAAGACACACAACCTTTGGGAAAAAAACCTTGAAAACCATCGTAAGTGAATTTAGAATAGAGAAAGTGACCAGACACGACAGAAGAGAAACTTGGCCACGGGGACGAAGAGCAGGCGCCCAGCCGGTTCAGAGAAGGAGGCTGGCGACAGAGGCCTTGTCAGCCCGGAGCGGGTAGGACCCTCAGGAGAACAGCGCCCTCCCTGGTGGGGCTGTGTTTACCTTGCGGGCTGTGTTTACCTCACAACCACACACACGCTCTGTCAGAGCCTCTCAGGGAAGCCCCTTCCCCGACTGTCCAGCTCCTGGGGCCCCTAGCCCCACCCTCTTCATGCAGAACTCCTCCAGGAGCGAGGGAGCTTCCTCCCCCACAGTGTCAGGAGGTGGCCCTGGGCCCAGCTAGCGGAAAAGCATCCTGTCTGAGCATGCCTCCCTCCCTGCACCTCTGGGTGTTAGCCGGCCAGGGCACCCTGAGCTCCACACTCAGGGTACTGCTCAGACCGCCGGCCACAACAGGAGAGCCCACCCCGGGCACGGGGGGTGGAGGATGGGGCTGCAGTCCTACCCCCGACTGCACAGAGGTGCCCCCAGCAACCAGTCCCCCACCTCGGGCCACCTCGACATGAACTCAGGCAGAGGGAAGGGGTTAGAATAAAGGGTTCCCTTCACTTAAATTGTTTTTACTTTTTGGCTGCACCTCCTGGCACACAGGATCCCAATTCCCCTGCATCCGAAGTGTGCAGTCCCAACCACAGGACTGCCAGGAAAAGTCCCAAATGTCCCCTTCACTTTTATCAAACGGAGCTATTTCAGGAACTGAGGACAAAAACCAAATGGTAATTTTTCTTCTTCATGAGCTCTTTGCAGGAACCAAGGACAGAGACCAAACATCTATTTGTTACTTTATTACATTATCACAAAGACATAGGCGCCTAACAGCCCCAAATACAGGGAGCAAACATGATGGCAGTGAAGAGACAACTCGGCAGTAACTGGGGACTCACACCACTCCCTCCAGGACAGACCCTCCAGGAAGGCGAGCACTCCCCTCACCAGCTCGGCCAGTTCACTCCGCTGGCAAGCACACACGCCCAGCATCTCGGGCGGGCACAGGACAAGCCTTGACAAACGTTCAAGGACTGACTGGAATCACACAAGCTGTAGTTCTGAATCACAATGGAATTAAGTTATAAATCAATAACTGAAGGAAACTGGGGAGATTCACATATATATGAAAAGTAAACAGTCCTAAAATAACTACTCGTTCAAAGAAAAAAAAAATCACAAGAGAAATTAGGAAAATATCTTGACATAGATAAAAACAAAAACACAACATATATTAAAGGAAAATTATGGGATGCAAATTAGTACACAGAAGAAAATTGACAGCTGTAAACCCCACATTTAAAAAGACCTCAAATCAATACCCTAAACCATAAGAAACTAGAACAAAGGACAAACCAAACACAAGCCTGGCAGGAAAAAAAAAAAAAAGGCTGGATCTGAAACAGAGAAGAAAAAAGAGAACTTCCACACAACCAGAAGCTGTGTATTTGAAAAGACCAACAACACTGACAAACACTTAGAATGGCCAAAAGAAAACAAAGACTCAAACTGCTAAAAGTCAGGAACGAAAGCAAGGACATCACAACCCTGCTGAAGTAAAAAGGGTCACAAGAGGGCACTGTGAATGCCAGTCCCCTAGAGGACCTGGTCACCTGGGAAAACTCCTGCCAAGACACAGAATCCCACAACCGGCTCGAGAAGCAGCAGAAAGCCTGAGAACGCACAACAAGTGAACAACCTGAAAACAAAGAAGAGTCCAGGCCCAGACGGTTTCACTGGTGAATTCTACCAAGTGTTTAAAAATTAACACCAATCCTTCGTGAACTTTTCCACACGATGAAAGAGGAAGGAAGACTTTCCCACTCGTTCTACGAGGCAAGTACTGCCCTGATACCAACACCAAAGACATCATAAGGAAAAAAAATACAGACCAGCACCCCTTAGAAACACAGCTGCAGAAATCCTTAAAAAAACAGCAGCAAGCCAAGCCGATCCACACATAAAGAGAACCGTGTGCACCACAACTGAGTGGGACTTATCCCAGGAATGTGAGGTTTGTTTTATATTCAAAAGCTAATGGAACTTAACCCCACATCAGTAAAATCAAAGATAAAAACCATGTGATCATCTCACAGAAGCAGAAAATTCAAAACAAAACATCCATTGCAGACAGAAACAGTCAACAAACCAGGAGTGGAAGGAAACGTCCTCACGCTGATAAAGCCCCGGATCACCAGCAGTCAGTAGGAGCACCTGGGTCTGGCTCCACTGACTACAGAGGTCAGAGGTGGTGGACCCAGCACAGAAAGCAGCCAGTGCCGCCAGGGTCGGGAAGCTGGACGAGACGGGGGACCAGATAACGGGAACAGGGAGTGACAAACACAATCTGAGAATACAAAAACCTACTGTGCTGTGTAGCTGAAAAGGGAAAAACTATGGCATACATGCATTAAACTTCAATACTAGAACCCACATGACACAACTAAAACCTGGCAAACCAAAGAAACAGAAATAGTTTGGTTTTAAAAAAAGGATGTATCCTTCAGTGTAAGAAGCCCTTGCAACGAAAACCCACAGAAGCAATCTACCCGAGCAGCTCACAGTTCCAAGTGGGTCTCAACACAAAGACCAGTCCAGCTCCTGCAGCCTCTGCCTCGAAGGCTCGTCCACCGCACAGCTCTCAGGGCAGCGTGACTTCCGTGCAGTACGGCAAACACAGTTTCTCACACCCACGGCAAGACAGGGGGACGGCCCCTGCCCGCAGAACCAGGCAGGCCTCCCCGTCCCAACGCGAGCGGCGGGCCCGCGCTCACCTCCAGCTCCTCGCTGTCTCTGGGCTTCTCCTCCGATGTCTGCTTGACGAAGTCAGGGATGAGGATCTCCAGCGTGGCGCGGGCTGCCGGGAGGAGCACAGGGTGAGGGGCCAAGATCAGACAGCAGCCAGGCCCCAGGGGCGGGGCGGCACTCGGGGGAGCTCTGCGGGCCCAGTGTGGGCGCCCCGGGCACAGGAGCGCGCCTGCAGGGGCTGGCCTCGCCGGGGTGGGGGTGCCATGAGGATGGCTGCACCTCACAGCTTTCTGCCTTGAGAGCCCTCAAACAGCCCACTGGTGGGTGGAGCCAGAAGACCCTCTGGAGCCTCTCTGAAGTGGAGGGGCCTCCTAGGGTGGGGGAGGCAGACCACGCAACCTCGGCGCAGCCTGGTGCGGGGACGGCCACACAGTCCATCATCCTCAGCATCAGCCACCAAGGGAGACCAAGGGGGGCGGACTCTGAGCCCCAGAGCTCAGATCCTGCGCCAGCCTGAGCCGTGGGGAGGCAGCAACGGAGTGGACATGGCCCAGGCTCTGTGAGCACAGAGTTGCTCTAAGACATGCAGCAACGGGGCGCCAGGGCCGAGGACACAGCCACAGCCGGCCCGCCACTGGTCCTCCCCAGGAGGTGCTAAATGGCTCCCGGAAGCACGCTCCCGCCCGGTGCGCAAATACAGCCAGCAGCAGGCCCAACAGGAGGAGCTCCCAGGGCCTGCCTGTCTGTGCTCTGGACCAGCAGCCCCAAGTCTCAGCCAGAAGCACTTGGGAGCAGTCCTCACAGACATCAGGACCCCTGAGGAGCATGCCCACCGTGCAGGGTCTACACAGATGGCGCCCAGGCTCCAGCAACCCAGAGCGCTGTGTGTGCTGGGGGAGTGGAGGGCCAGGGCAGGAGGCGCGGGCCCACCCATCCAACTGGACGAAAGCCTTCTATGTTCGCTTCTCACAGCCTGCCTCTTGGTGAATCCTTGCCAGTGAGTGCATAACTTAAAAAGATCCAAGTGGATAACTCCATAAATACCAGACTCGCCCACCCCACCTCCAGCCAGGGTGGTTCACACGGTCCCCCAGACACCAGCAGGCACATTACCAGCTTTGTTCTTGGCCAGTTTTTTGCTGCTCGCCGTTCCAGATCCATAGGTCACACCGTCAATGGTCACTGAGGCACCAAAAGGCTCGCTTGGGTTCTCTTAAATTAAAACGACCACTTTAAAACACATGTGCCAGGACGTTCACAGCACACCAGCATACACACACTCTGCTCACCGCAGAGCGTGGGGCACGGCTGCGGCAGGAAGGCAAGGCGGGGGTCCCCGGGACACTGGGCAGCCACAGAGGGAGACGGGCCAGAGGCAGAGCTGCCAGGGACAGAGACCAAGGTCTGAGAAAGGTGGATGGGCGCAGGGGCACACACAAAAGGCAGGGGTGGGAATGCAGACTCAGCAAGCCCAAGAAGCAGGGAGACCACAGCGGACCCGAGCTTCCAGCCCTCACTCAGGAGCGCTGCAGGCAGCACAGAGGGGCCGGAAACCAGCACAGGACCGCGGCTCCTCCAGCCGGAGGCCGGGGTGGCTGTGGGGGGGCAGACGCTGTGCGCAGGGCGTGGGGAGGGGGCGGCAGGTGAGGACGACCCCCTCCATTTCCCGTCTCATCCCAGCAGGCGGGGCTGACAAGCAGCCCCAGGCAGCGCCCGATGCCCGAGGAGGCCGAGACACAAGGCGGGGACAGGAAGGCCGGGAGGGGCGGCGGCACTCACCGCACTCGAAGAAGCTGTACACGGGGCGGACCTTGAGCACGCGCTGCATGTACTCGTGCAGGATGCACACCTCAGACTTCCCGTTGGGGTTGATGACAAACTCTGTGACGTGACGACAGGGGCTGTCTCAGAACAGCCTGGGACCCCGCCTGTGGAGGGGACCTCTGCGCCGCAGGGCGGACGGGGCTGGGCTCACCTTTCTTTGTGGGCGCGTCCTGCACAGACAGTGTGATGAGCTTCTGGTTGGCGGGCAGGATGGGCCTCTCTGACTCGGCCTGTTTTCGCTTCATTTCTCGGTTGAACTGCCGACGCTCAGCCCACGTCCTGAACTTCTTCACGGTCACTTGCTCAAAGTCAAAGCGCTTCTCCAGGTAATTCCGAAACTCCTCAANCCACGGACAGGCCTGGCTGCTGGGAGATGCACAAGACAAAGACTCAAGGACAGCTTGCTTTTCTTACCGGTATTGGGAGCAAGTGAAAAACTCAGAAACAAAAGCAAAATGCCACATGGAATCTAAAAAAACACATGGACAAGATGAAAACAGCCCCACCAACACTTGTGGGAACGGAAAGGACTCCCTTGTGTCAGGTCTGACACCTGCACGTGGCTGATGCCAGGCGAACACCAGCGTCAGGACGGCCCTGGGAGGGAGGGCAAGGCTGGGCATGCACAGTCACCCCAGGCCCGTGGGCTGGGCCAGGAGCAGCTGCCTGCAACCAGCCCTGGGTAACCGAGGAGGAGGAGGCGTGTCCGTGACCAGACCACAGCCCACGCGGCAGACACACGCCCGGCCCCGCCAACGGGTCTGCTCTGCGGCCAGGAGACGGCATGCCGGCCACTCCTCAGTTCCTCCTGTCACGCTAGCCACCTGCACGGTGCTCAGCGGAAGGCATCACCTGTGTGCCCGAGTCCCTCCAGCCCCTTCCCATCGCCCACCTGACACCAAAAGGCACCCCAACTGCTCTTCCCAGTGTACCCATGACCCCTCCACCTCTGCCCACATGTGAGCCACGGGTCTGCTTTCAGAACAGACTGTGGAATGAGTTCTGCCTGCTTCCAGCAGCTTCCCCAGTGCTCGGCACAGAACCAAGAACTCAGACAGGGGTCACGAGCAGCCCCCACACTCAGCACTGCCTCTGTCTGCAGCCTCCACACGCCCGGAAGCCCCCTTCCCATACCACGGCAGTGCGTAGGGTATGTCCTCACATTCCAAGCTTCCCATCACCGACAGGACCCTCCTGCCTGCAGATGCACACGGCCGCCCAGACTGCCGCCCGGCAGCCTGAGGGCTCTCCCAGCGTAGCATGAGGCTGAGCACCCACACGACTTCCTGGCCCGACTTACTTTTGAGCACGGTTTTAATCTTGGTCATCATTGGCTGAACGCTTGTCTCCCCGTCCGATGGGTGGTCGCTGTCTCCTCCGTATTTCTCTTCCATTCGCCTCTTTTTGGGAGCACAGAGGCCCTCTTCCAGAAGAGCATCAACATCATTGTCAAAATCATCCTGCAAAACACACTGTTCAGAAACCGCGGCCCCTGGCACCCGCACTCCTGCCCATGGGCAGGCGTCAGCGACAACACAGAGAGGAGGTGGTCTCGGGGGCCTAGGGGCGCCTCTGTGGCGCACGAGCATCTGAAAAACAAAGAGGATGAAACGGCCAGCCAAAGCACACGCTCGTGACCAGCAGATCGTTCCAAGTCGGCTGAGACACGGGTACAAGGCAGACCTGTCAGCCAAACTCTGTTAGCAGAGCCGGGACCCCTGGACTCCAGACGGCTTTCTTTCCGCGTGGACCTTTCTACCTCCAGTGGGTTTTTTTCCTCTGTAACATCGCAACATGGGCTTCCCAGAGATGCTGCAACTCCCAAACACCTCTCTTTGGGTTTTGCTAAGAATGCTCCAAAGGAGGGGATGCCGACATACCTCGTAGGAGAAATTCAAGGCCTCTTCGTCCACTCTGTCTCTCTGCGCGATCGCTTTAGCCGTGAACCCGCCTGCGCCTTCTTCCTCTAGCTCCAAATTGTCAGTAAAGTCTTCTAACTCATCGAGCACTGCGTACTCCACTCTCCTTTCCTGATCCAGCTCATGCTCCTCGTCCCTCCTACCCGCACTCTCACCCCCGGCGCCTACCCCGTTCCCCGCGCCCCCGCCACAGGGACCAGCATGCACGTCCCCACTGACAGGGCTGAGGGCCAGGCCACACTCTGCCCGCACGTCGCGCTCCGCTCCCGTGTACAGCACCTTCCTGTCCTCACTCCTGCAGCTCTCCGTAAAGCTCACGCTAATCTTTACATCCTTAAGCAACTTAAGGTCAGGGGAGAACTTCCGGACCGCAGGTGCATGCCGCGCAGTGCGCGGGCTGTGGCCACTACAGTTCGGGTCTACGAGGAGGCGGGCCTTAGAGGAGGATCCTTTGGAGAGAAGAGAAGCTCCGTAGAAGTTGAGCGGGTCCTCAGCAGGGGGTTCGGCCTGTCCATCACCACCAGAGCCAACGTCCATTACCTCTGCATCACTGGACGTTTGCAGGGGAGGTGGTGGAGACTGTCCACGGGGCAGCGAGCGGAGGGGGCAAGCTCGGTCCTCCATCGCCACTCCTCCTGCGGGCTCGCGCGGGAGAGGAGAGGGGCTCTCACATGTCTCCATAGTAAAGTGGTTAGGACTACTTTAAAAGACCAGAGTTTTTAAAAACCTGACATAACTCTAGACAGCTAACATGCACAAGTCCGTCGAGACCCGGGTGCGTCCTGCCCGCGCTGCATACGCTGGCGGCTTAGTCAAGCTGGCCACATTGCTCTTTTCATTAATGTAGACAGCTTTTAGAACCACTGCCTCAATTATTGGAAATCACAATGCACTCAGCTTAAATGACTGACGACTACGCGAGTCTGTCCTCAAGCCGAAGGGGCACCCGTCTTCCTCCACCTGCAAAGAGACGTAAAGGCGTCGTCACACAGTGACAGAGACCTTCCGCTTCCTGGCACCGAGAGTCCAGTGCTACGGACGGTGCAGTAAAGACTTCAGTGACACTGCCTGAGAAGAGCACCTTCTACGCTTCAGAACAGGCGAACCTGACTCCCTTCTTCAGAACCTAAATTATAACATAAGTCCTAAGTCAAGTATTTCACTAGTTGTCCACTGTATTTCCAACTTCAGAAACACAAAAACCATATTATAATTAGGTTCAAAAAGGATTAAAAAAACCAGGACTCCTCCACTACACTGTACCGCGGCACTCCCCTGGCTCGGCTCAGGCGGCCGCCCTTCCACAGCACACTGGGGTGTGCGGCTTCCCTCCAGCACCAGTGATGTGGGTCCACTCACCTGCGTGGGCCGGTCAGTCACAGGGCAAGCGGGCGGCCCTCTGCTCAGCTCTGCGGCACTACGGCCTCAGAGGCACAGCTCGGGCTCCGCCACCCAGAACCCCAGGGCATGGGGGCAGGGGCAGGGATGCAGCGGGCTGGGCGTGGCTCTGCTCCCGACTGGCCGGGCGGGCAGGGAGAGGCTGCGGGGGCCGGCTAAGCCCAGGCACCGGAGTCCTGGTAGCCGCCTGGAGCCTGGCTCCATGAGGGGGCAACAGGGAGGCCGGGGGCGAAGGGACCCTCAGGCCACAGTTCAGTCCCTAAGCAGAAGGGAGGCCCACACCCGTGAGAACAGTGGACACAGAACTGACCACGCTGCTGAGTGGGTGGAGGCCGAGCACAGGACAAGGCAGCCCCGAAGACCAACAGGGCCTCTCCCCAGGGGATATTCAGGCAGGGCCCGCAAAGAAGGGTGCTCGGAGCCTCTGGGCAGATCCGGCCAACACAGCCGAGGCCATCAGGATGCGTCGGCCAGGCGGTCACCCAAACCACAGGAGAGGCCACCCAGAGAGCGAGGGCAGACCAAGAAAAGGGCTGAGGACGCAACCCTGGGGAGTTTGCACCAGAGGGAAGACACCAGGCTGAGAAGGCAGGGCGGGGCGTCCAAACACAGGGCCGCGGGAGGGAGGTTCCAGCAGAGCAGAACACGTGCAGACACGCACGCACGTGCACACACGCACGCACGTGCACACACGCACCCCCACACCGTGCAGACACGCACGAACATGCCATGCACATGGATGCAGACACACATGCGTGCCCACACCACTCGGGGCGGCTTGCGGGTTGCAGACAGACAGGAAACAGCAGACACCACACGTTTAAGAGGTTACAGTGGAGGGACAGGACATAAAAAACAAAGACTTGTTTAGATGTAATCAATTCATCCAACAACTATTCACTGACCACCTACTCTGATGGGGGTATCAGCATGAACAAGGGGGCAGCAACCACTGACCTGTCTTCTACTTCCCGGGTCCCAAGGTGTCCTCATGTTTCTGAACACAATACCTCCCCCGCAGGCATGTCTGCCAAAAGTGCTAAGGACCAAGGAAACATGGCACACAGGTGATGACGGACGCGGAACCGGGAGACCACTGAGGAGGCACCAGACGTGCACAAGGACCACCGAGCGGGGTAAGGCCAGTCTCCTGGCACCAAGAAAGCTCATTTCAGAGGACAGACAGGTCAGCACACCCAGCACTACAGAACACAGACACGACCAGGACCAAAGCCCTGGGCACCAGGCAGGTCTGCAGAGACCCCAGCAAGAGCCCACCCATGATTCTGGGGGCCAAAAAGGCTAAAACAAGAGACGTGAAGAGGACGGAGACACCTCCAGCCATGTTCAGAGGCTGAGAAGCTCAGTTTAGAAGCAAAGAACCAAGATGATAACGATGAAACCTGGTGAAGGGAGGCCTTGAAGAGGTGCCCAGAGTGCAGGCTGGGAGCCGTGGCGAGTGGTCCTTGGAGTTTGGGGAGCCGCCTGGCCCTGGGGCGGCAGTGCGCTGAGGGCTCCGCTGCAGGCTGTCCCGAGCACACTCCTGACCTTCCCTGTTCGTTATCTGCACCCGTCAACGCCTTCCATGTGGCGCACACAGAACACTGCAGATGCTGAGGACGGGAGATAGACAAAACCCCCAGCCCCAGAGCTCACACATTAGCAGAGAGACGGACAAGTAACAACTAAGAAAAACTGAGACGCGTTCAAGAGAAAGCAAAGCAAGGAGTTGAGGAAAGGGTGGGAAGTGAAGGCCTCACAGCCAACACCCCCTGAAGGTGGAGGAGGGGATATTCCAGGCAACCCCGAGAAGAGCAAAGGCCCCAGGGTGGAGCACCGGGTGGTGGATGACAGCAGTGTGCCCGGGGGTAGAGGCCAGGGCAGGGAGGGCAAGGGAGACCAGGACTGAGAGACGGGCCCCTGGAAAGGAGGGTTCAAGCGGTGAGGTCACACGATCCAAGGTCAGCAGTCGCAACCAACCCTCAGGCAGGCCCTGTTCTAAGCATGTTATGCACTATCACTCACCAGTTCTCACACAGCACTGTGAGAAAAAGGTTAAGGACAGAGAGGTTAAGCAACTTGCTCAAGGTCACACAGCGAGAAGGTGGTGGAGTGCTTTACCACTCAGGCAAGGTAGCTCCGGTCTGCACTGCCTTGGTATTAGACTTACGGTTGAAAAGAACAGCTCTGTGTCCAGAAAATCCCTAAGTGGGTAGATAATAGGAGGCACAAGGTTGAGAGCAAAGAAACAAATAAAGAGGCTCACCAGGCAGCCTGGACCAGCATGTCAAGCTGGAGGTGGTGAGAAACTGCCCTGAGGAGTGTATGGAGGCCGAGGAGACTCCACACTCAGGGACAGAGGTGTCGCGCGCAGAGGTGGTGAAGCCAGCGTGGGGAGTGTTCGGGCAGGTGAAGATCATAGCCTAGGTTTAGACATGGCTACTTGGCACCAAAGTAACACGTGGAGGTGTAGAAGAGGCAACCAAAAGCGTGCAGCTGTGAGAAGGGAGGCCGGGGCTGGAGACGGACATGCAGGTGTCAGGAGAGACAGCGTTAAAATCAGGGACTGGACGAGATCGCCAAGGAAAGGAGCGCGATCCTACAAGAGGCCAAGACTCACTTCCCTACCCTGAAGTCACAGTCAGATTACAAAAGCCCGGGGACGTGCCCCACACGGTGGGCCGGGGCCACAACAGGCTCAAAGGCTGGTCCTCCTGCCACTGCTACTGCTCCAGCTGACGGCACACTGGGATGCAAACCCGGCTCACCAAGTGGACGGTGAGCCAGCAGCAGACTTGCAGCAGGCACCCCCAGGTCCCAGCACAGTGTAAAACCAAGACACTCCGACAGCGCCCTTCACTTGGGTCCACTTGCTGGGCTGGCGTGGAGGCGCCGTCTCGGATGGTCCAGTGCTGTGGCTGCCGCCTTTCAGTCAAGCCTCTCGTTGCAGCCTTCCGCCCAACCCAGCGTCAGAATGACCTCACCCGTCCTTTTCTCATCCTGTCAGCCTCGCATCCCACACTCACAGGCGCCACTGCTGACTGGCCATCCCCCCCTCTGTGGGGTGACCGACTGCGGCAGGGTTTCTGGCCCGCTCCACCCCGCCGCCCAGGACTGGAGTCCAGTCAGCGGCCAGGACACAGGACACCTGTCTAGCATTTGGGGCCTGGCACAGTCCCCTGCCCGATCCCGGACTGCTGGGCGCCGGGTAACCGAGGCACATGCGAGCATGCAAACAAATCAAGTTCCTACCCTGAGCAACCCAGGTCCATCGGAGGACACCTGGCAGGGACCACTGTCAACAGGTGGTCACCTTCCACTTGTTTCTACCCCCGGGTCATTGTTATGACAAAACCACATCCCGATCGTCTACGTGACCCTGGGTCCGTGAGCAAGTGGTGGAAAAGACGGGCAGCTTCTCAGGTTTCCCAGGCTCTCGCGGCCGGCAGGGTCCCGGGCCGGCACCGCCGCGGTCGGGACCCTGCCCGCCCGAAAGCCGTCTACGGCTTCGGGTCCACGGGACGAGGGGTCTCCTCACACCCCGGGGCCGGCCCGCGCGCAGAGCGAGTGGCGCGGCGGCCCCCGGCCCCGTGCCTGTCCGCATTGGGGGAGCCGCCGGGCTGGCTGCGGAGGCCGCCAATAGGCGGCGCGCGGCGCTCGCGGCCGCGGAGCGCGGCCCAATGAAATGCGCGGCTGCGCGGGAGCGACCCGGCGCTGAGGCGGCCGCCGAGCTAACGGTCGCCGCCGGGGCGGGGCTTGGAGCGCGGAGGACGGCGGCCGCGGAGGGCGCCGGGAATGGGGGAGCGCGGGGAACGCCGGGAGCGGGGTCGCGCGGGGGACGCCGGGAGCGGGGCGTGGGAGCCCAGGGCGCGCCTCGGGCCTGGGAGAGACCGAAGGCACGCCGGCCTCCACGCTTTCCCTGTGAAGGCGGTGAGCTTAACGATAAGGGGGGCAAAGACAGGAGGGCGCCGCTGTCCGGCCCTTCTCGGCTCCCTGGTCCTGCACGAGAAGCCAGGACTGTCCCTGCCAAGGCGGGAGCTCCCCTGGCACGGAAACGGCTGCAGACCAAAGCCGGCGGTGCGGACCGAGGGCCGGACGGGGCCCGTCAGTTTGACGGCGTTACAGAGCGGCGCCCCCCCACCCCCACCCCCCAACACTCCCTGGCTGCAAGGCCAAGGCGGTGACTTTGCAGGAGCCAACTGGGAAGACCGCTCCGCCAGGCGCCCCAGCAAAGGTGCGCACGTCCATCATCAGAGCGGATAAAGACGTGTTGCTTTGTGTCTTCAAGATGCTTCGATAAAAGAAAAGAGGGGGGAAAGCCAGTAAAGGGGCATACGGAGGGCCTCCGGAGAAGGACATGCTAAAGCCGCAAAGGCCAAAACCCGTGTGTAATTACAAAGACCCCGCAAACCCACAGGAGGGTCCTTCTACCCCCAAAATGGCCAGTGCTTTCCAAAAAATGTCAAGATCATTCAAATCAGAGAGAGACTGGGGAGCCCTCTAGGGCTGTAGGAGCAACAATTAAGTGTGATGAGGGGGTCTGCGCTCAGGCAAGGGTTATTAGTGGGACAAAGGTCAGCAGATTAGTTAACCATATTGTATCAATGCTAATTTCATGGTTGTAAACGTTTACTGTGGTTAGGTAAGGTGTTGAGATTGGATCTCCTGAAGGATATTGGATTCTTTGTTCCATTTTTCAAGTTTGTAGCAAGTTGAAATGATTTCCTAAAAAGAGCCAGGGGAGGGGTGCTGCAGGTCCCTAAGCTGAAGGCCCACCTAGGCCTTCCCTCTGCTTGCCAGGCTGCGCCATGAGGTTGGCACCAG